TTTGTTGTGTACACTGAGGACAGAACCCGGTACCTGAAGCTTGAAATCTTAATTTTTATACACTATGTTAGTGTTTCTGGATACATCTAGCTAACGAGTCCCAAAAAGGATGAAGCGTACGGCTTAAATTTCACGAATGGCTACAATCCGAATTTACCATACTAATAAAAACTAATTAATTGCGCTCCCTAGTATCAGTAACGAGACCTAATACTCTTTTTTATTACCATGAACATTACAATTACTTCGATCACTTTGCTCAGCACTTACTTACTTCACGTCACTTGATAGTGAAATTTATTTATTTATTTGAACACATATGTATTGGTACAGGAGTGCGCCAAATATATATGCGCCACACAAAACAATGAGAATTTAAGAAGAAGAAAATGAAAAAAGTGGGGAATGTAAAAAAAGATAAAAAAAACAATAACGAAGAGATTGGTGTAAGGTAGTGTAATAATAATAGTAATAGTAGGGGAACAGAAGGGTACAATCAGAAGAAATCTTTCAGTTAAGGAAGATACAACCACGTTTTATGAAGAAAGTAAAAGAAGGCTACAGCATGATCGCCACTGGCTTCTATTCTGAGCCATATCTGATAACGTCTCTAGCCACTGTGTTGCACCATCTCTAGGACCCCAACCAGGGAGTCGTGAAGGACCAACACAAGCCAGTCCTTTGCAGCTTCCTTTCATACCACGACACCATGTCATACACTGACCACCTCTCCGCTTCTTCCAACCAGTCCCAGAGTCAGCAAATAATGCACGACGTGGGATTCTATGGGACGACATTCGGAGAACATGTCCAAGCCACCGAAGTCGATGTTTCAAGATGGTGACACCAATTGAATTATCGTCTCTGTGCGCGAACACACGATGCCGAACCTCTGCATTACTAACATGGTGTTGCCACTGGATGTCAGCAATCCTTCGGAGACAACGATGATCGAACACAGAGTCGTCTAACATCCTCAACTCGGAGAGACCAGGTTTCACAAGCATAGAGCAAAACTGCTCTCACCGACGCGTTGTAGATCCGACCTTTTACAGCCAGACTAACATCACGAAGGCGCCAAAGGTGGCCCAGATTGGCATAAGCCGCTCTGGCTTTCACTATTCGTGCATTGATCTCATCACTCACACCCCCACCAGCACTTATGCAGCTACCCAGATACACGAACTTCTCGACTACGTCTATCTGCTCACCATCCAGGGTGAGTACAGAATTAGGATCCTGCCAGTCTTGTAGAAGTACTTTGCACTTCGAAGGTGCAAAGCACATACCATACTTACGGACACTGATTGCCAACTGATTAAGTGCGGATCGCATGCCTTATGCATTATCACACAGTAAGACGATATCATACGCATACTCAAGGTCGAGAAGTCTTTCTCCAGGCAACAGATCCACACCACCATTACTTACATTCATCAGAGCTGTCTCCAGAATGTCATCGATGGCAAAGTTGAAGAGGAATGGTGAGATTGGGCAACCCTGCCTAACCCCACTGCACGAATGGAACAATGGAGAGAGGTAGTTGTATCCCCTCACTCTGCCTGAGGTGTTTGTATATAGGGCCTTTAGAATGTTAGTAAACTTCTCAGGCACACCCTTCTTCAATAGACAATCCCAGAGGACAGTCCTATCCAACGAATCGAAGGCAGCCCTGATGTCAGGAAACACTACGATTGTTGGCCTTTGATAAGTATGGCGGTGTTCTAACATTTGGCGGAGGGTGAAGATATGATCAATACATCCTCGACCACAACGAAACCCAGCCTGCTCCTCGCGAGTCAATCTTTCTCGGGTTTTGAACAACCTACGAAGAATGACGGAAGCCAATAGCTTGGACGCAATCGGAAGTAAACTTATCCCCCGATAGTTGTTACAGGAACGACGTGAACCCTTTTTAAAGATAGGGACAACTATCGACTCAGTCCATGACGTTGGTACACTCTCTAGTTCCCAAACCTTTGTAAACAACGTCGTCAATTCCTTAGTCAAAAAGTCACCACCATCTTTAAAAAGAGCCGGAGGTAAGTCATCTGGGCCAGGTGATTTGTAACGCTTCAAGAGTTGGAGTTCCTTGCGGACTTCCTCCTCATTTGGTGGATCAGTCGTCACCGGCCATGGAGGACAGGACAGTCCGACCGATGTTGCCGGAGCAGCAGGCCAGTTGAACTGCCCTTCGAAAAATTCTGCCCATCGTCCAAGACGTCGATGGATGTTAGTGATTGGCATCCCGTTATCCTCACAAATTGTTTCGCTCACACCAGACTTCTTGCTGCCAGTGACTCGGATGAGTTGGAAGAGATTCCGGTAGTTACCAGACGCACCTGCAGCTTCCAGCTCATCAGCACGCTCCGACCACCAGGCTTCTCGGTCCTTACTCAAGCTTTGCCCAATTTCATTACGTAACAACCTTCGTTTGTGGTCAAACTCACGGTCATCCGGAGTAGACCGACGGGCTTCAATGAGTTGTAAGGAACCTGGAGAAACCCAGTGCTTAAAAGCGGGACGTTTCGCAAACTCACAATTGACTGTACCCGCCATTTTCATGGCGTCATGCAATTGCAACGCTCATCTATACTTTTCGGTGGTATGGTATCTAGCCTAGAAGCTAGCTCGATTCGATACTTACTTGCAACAGGAGTTTCAAGCAACTTGCTGACATCAATCCTTTGGATTGTAACTCATTTATACGTAATATCTAGTGTAACAAATGAATTTTATTTACCTAATTTTGACTGTATTATAATTATGAAACATTGAAATTTATTGACAAATGAAAACTATAGGAATTACGCTACTTCAATTTGTAGAATGGATCAATATTTTTAGTAATGAATTCATAAAACAAAACTGTGTACGTCAGGGTATTGGACATATACTGAAGTGTTATCGCAACCCTATTGGTCAGTTTCGTTTATTTCAAGACGACTAGTACTGAGTCCCTATATATTTTTACTGCACACAAACTTAGTTGCTTATCCAGTGTAACACAACTGAAATTTCGCTACTAAAGTCCTTATTCTCATTTAGCATACAATTATTGGAGTGTAATTCCATTAATTATAGGTTATCATTGAAAAACACTGTAGCATCTAACACAGTTGTTACCTAAATCTCTTCGTTCGGAAAAAATTCCGTGATCATTCCAGCTACTAAAAATTGAAAATGCTAATTTAGATGACCTTTCTAAGGACACTATATGAATGTATTATGTCAAATTGTTATTCATCTCATGCATACATACCACATATTATGTAGAATTTAATGTTATTATTTCTATTTACATATATATTACGTAAAAAAAAATTACTAACATACAGATGATTTGTCCTTCAAGTATAACTAGAACAGATTTTTGGTTGAGATCATGAATTAATTGATGTTAGACCACCGTCGGAAACCTGGAAGCACTGGACGGCCGTTTCGTCCTAGTATGGGACTCCTCAGCAGTGCGCATCCACGATCCCGCACTGCTGAGGAGTCCCATACTAGGACGAAACGGCCGTCCAGTGCTTCCAGGTTTCCGACGGTGGTCTAACATCAATTAATTCATGATCTCAACCAAAAACTTAACAATCTCCACAACCCCCATACTGATAGAACAGATTTGTTATTAAAAAATCCTTAATCAATAGGAAAACATTTTCTGAAATACATGATGACGGATTTGACAGAAATATACTCAAGTATCTGAAAACTATTTTATATAAAAGGGTATTTTACTAGTTTTAAAAGTTTGTATTTTTTAATCAAAGGTAAAATGGAATACAACAATACACATCGACGAATTTTATGGTTATTATGACTCACTAGACTCGTGAAAAAATTTCCAAGTGTTGCTGAACAGGACCAAAGATTCAGTAGATATCCAGCTGCGAGATCGACAGATAGGATCGATCGTGCACAGACCAAGTCGTGACACTACGGATCATAGTTACACAATCAACTGAATGGAACTCGTCATTATACACGTTAACGCCCTTGATTATGAGAAAACCTTTGACAGCCTAGGTAAAAGAACCTTATGGAATTTTCTTCGACACTATGGTGTACCTGACAAAATCGTCAACATCATCCGGAATTCGTAAGACGGACTACACGACAGTTGACAGACGCATTCCAAGTGAGAACCGGTGTCAGACAAGGCTATCTACTCTCCCCCATCCACTTTCTTCACGCGATTGACTGGATTATGAAGACCTCGACTTCTGAGAGGAAGCACGGAGTACAACGGAAAGCTTGGATACAACTGGACTGCAGCCGTCTTTACATCAGTAGACTTTAATATACACAAGGGAAAAAAAGAAAAAATCCTTAAATAGAACACGGAGAACACGAACGCAATCTCACTTGAAGGAGAAACTCTGAAAGAGGTGGTAACTTCCACGTATCTGTGCAGTATCACCGATGAACAAGGAGGATCCGATGCAGACGTAAAAGTAAGGATTGGCAAAGCAAGAGCAGCAGTTCTACAGTTGAACAACATGTGGAACTCAAAACAACTATCAACAAACACCAACGTGAGAATTTTCAATACGAACGTTAAAACAGCTTTATTGTACGGAGCTGTAACTTGGAGAACTACTGATCAAAGAATGTTTGTAGATAAAGAAGAATGACAGTTAATAACACAGATGATAAACTTGTCTTTTTTAAACAGTTACTATAGTAGCACTTTAAATGGATAACAAAACCGAAATCTATTGTAATATTGTATAGTTATGCTGAGAATCATTTACTGTAATCAAACATATGGTATTAAATAACGGAATGCTTATTAATTAAGTTATGTCATGATAAGCAAGCATCAATTGAAGAAAACTATTCTGGTTTCTATTGTTAGTCAGTAATTATAATTCTTAACTAAGAATTTCATGACAATAAACCTGGTGAAAGCCTCGCAATTATAATTTATTCAGTTCAGCAAAGAACACAATACGCTTGAATGCATCCATCTAGAGTTGGAAAATTTACATTGTTACCACTAAATTATATAATATAGTAAAATCCAACTAGTTTACAGTATACTACTTATTTTATTTCACTATAAAGTAATAAATATTTGAAAGATAAATAGATAAAAATTATCTATAAAAGTAATAAATAAATCGAACGAATATTTTAAAACAAATTGTTAATTGTCAATCAACATTGTAATAATTGATTTGTCTAAGCAATTACACACATCATTATCATTAACATGTTACAAAATCTATTGAAATGGAAAGAGTGAAACAGTTAAATAGTCATGATGACAATAATGGAAAATCATTATGCTCTTTTAAACAAATACACACATCATATATGACTCAGTTTGTATCTGTACATAATTAGATTTAGATTTAATATGCATCTCTCTCTCTCTCGCTATATATGTATATTTGGGATAACGAATTACAAGCCACTTATAATGATATCAATGGGAAATATACATAATGAATTTGTCATTATTGCTTTACTCAGTTTTAAATGGTCGAAAAACCGAAAGTTAGCCAACTATGAGAAAAAGTAGGATAATCATAAACTACTACGAGTAATTTTAATTGTTCATTTTTATTTAAATTCAACTCCTTTGTACAAGTAACTAAACTAAATAGTCACGTGAGTATAAGCACACTCGCATAGACATACATACACACAAATAAGAGAATAGATCACAGTTGTGTTTTTTTTTAAAATAACAAACAAAAATAATTCACTATTAGTTTTAGGAACAATAATAATAATGTTGATGATTTTACTGTTTACTACAAAGGGTGAAAAACACCAACACATGAAGTCAGCCATGTGTGTATAGATGCATCATAACTTCAAAGTTGAAACAGATTCCAAGAAGAAAATTTTGTTGCACTTTTTCCATTTCAATGTAATAAACACTTCTTTTTTAAACAAAAAAATAGTCAGTGAATATTGTTGAGATTATTTCCAATTTTACAAAGAACAAGGAAATACATAAAAGTGGCAAACACGCAAAAAGAGATTGATTTCGTATTCGTTCTAAACAAAATATGATAAATGAAAAGGAAAGAACATAGAATGAGGACATAACGGAGACGGAACAACACCGAAAAAAGTGAGAACCTCTGTAAAAAGAAAAGGGAATGATTGATGAATTAAACAAAAAACAATGATCCAAATTCACGTTCCCAAACAGCTTGACTTGATTTATTTAATTTCTTCGATAGTTTTATACCACCACTACAGTCGCCAGTGCGATTACCAGCGCCAATAGGTAAACCAATATTGGCATTGAATTGCTCAGAATTGAATTTATTATTGACTGTATCACTGACAGATGAAGGATTGAAATTTTCACGCCCTTGTATTTTTTTTGGACCATTCGCAATAGGTGGAGACATATCATGTAGATAGAAGTCACAAGATGATATATCATCAAATACTTCAGCCATATGTGCACGTACTGAATGTGCCTAATATAGTGAACAACAACAGGTAAGACATATATATTAACGCTAAAATGTACTTATGATGAACGAAAATGGTTATTTTCTTGACAGACTGACGTCAATTGAATAATTATTTAAAACTGTACATCACTGAAAGTGTTCTCTTTGGTTTAGTTTTTGGATTTCACAGTAACACGTTCTACTCACGGGATACATCAATCTCATGACCTATGGTTTATTCAGTGGATATACAATATTTTTAAACTTCTTAGATTATAGCTACTGATTAGCAAATTTAGGCTGTTTACAATAAAACGCAACTGTCACGTTATATATATATCGACAAGTTCTGCCCTCAATATAATTGTAATTCACATATATCACCTAATTATCCCTGATTTTCGTTGGTTCCCTCTTCTGCAATAATTCTAACAAGCTAATAAATTAAAGATCTTTAACAGAAATATTTTCCGAAATTCAATACAGATTACAAATTGGCTGTTTGGTTTTAATTCTGAATCTAACATAAGACATTGTGCACAAACTAAACAGTGGTAGTTTACTCACAGCAAGATTCAAAACTAATGAGGCTTTGATTTTGATAGGAAAACGTTTTTACGGAAGAAATTTTTCCAACGATATTGACAATGAACAAATGCTTGTCGTGTAACGCATTCAATAACTAACATATTCAATTTCTATTCTCAATTGTTAGATTATTTCGAATTCATTTTTGTATTTAGCTGGGTGCTATTGATTATTTGAATGTCAATCCATCTATCCCGTGTGTGCAGATCGAGGTACGGCACTCACATTTTCCTTAGTTCACCGAAATTATACACGCTTTAGACAATAACGGCAACAGCGTAGCTACCGCCTGAACACAAATTTGCCAAGCGTTAAATAATGAGTTCCTGAAGTCGGAAAGTTATTCATTAAAAAATGCATGCGTACGTATGTTCAACGTATATACGAGGTGATACCCCCTTTAATATCTTTAAATTTTTGCAGATATGTATAAAAAACAAAGTACAAAATTCACTTTTTCACGTTGTTGAGCACAGATTTCATTGAATTCAGTTGAATTAAAACATCCATCTAATAATCGATCTTCTTCGACAAATTTCGGTGGTTTTTGAATTTCTTCTCCGTCACCTATGTATATAAATGAATAAATAAGTCGAATTTGTGAAAAAACATGAATTAAAGTGTGCGAAGACTATACAAATGACTAAATGACAGTAGACATTTCAACATTTATTTGCTAATTACAGTATGACCAGGTGATATTAGTCAGTCATAGTTGTACGAATTATGAACTATTACTCTATAATCGTATTTCCTTCCACATAGAAAAAAAATTAGTCGATTAAAGAAAATCTCATCAAGTCATATCCAAATTACGAGACTACACATGACATCATTTATGTATAGCGACATTTATGCAAACGATGAAATTATTCAGACAAGTCAGTCAATCAGTTATAATCAACTGCATCACTAACACTGATTCTAGGCTATAAACAGGTATATACATATATGCATGCCTGGCAGCTGGAAGACTACCTCTTGACAACTATCAACTATTCATTCATAGTCATTCTCACTTACAAAGCGATCTTGCAAAAACTACTACTACTACTGTGGTGTGCTACTTATATTGACATAAGTAGTATATAACGTTACTCGTGAACAGAAGGCCTGGCAGCAGAGAGACAGGAGGATCGAGAAGTAAAAAATAGAAACAGAGTGCAATTTGTATGAAAATGCGAGAACAATCAAGTCTGAGCCATTTTGAGACAATCAATGGAAATTCTGCAAATTAAGCATTTACTTTATGATTGCTAGATTTTATTAACAAGTCCTGTAATTCTGTGCTAAATACATTCGATTGTCCCCCCGGGTGTTCTGCTCACTACACTACTACTACTACCACTACACTGTTTTACGTTCCATCGAGTAATGTTCGCGTTAATCATGATAGGGAAAGAAAACGCTAATATCCTTATGAAATGACATCATTTGTTAATTATTCAATAAAATACCCGACATGCTTTATGTCTCGCTATGCAAAAAAGAGTATATTTACACGGTGCAAGTGAAATTGTCTTGTTCAAGGAAAAAGAGAGAAATTTGGAAAACAATTAGGATTAATGCCGATTAAGGAATTTCTTTATTTCATTTTATATTTTAAATATTCCGGTTAAATTAAAAACAATATTAAGCTTGAGATATTACTTGGTTTTAGAAACCAGTGAAATTTACAGGATGCAAATAAGAACACGAAAACTGATGTAGAAAATTTATTCCACCGTACAAAATACACGAATTGTTGCGACGGTAGCTAAATGATGCTGACATCTTGATCCCGTGAATCGCATGACACAAACAATAACGCGAAGATAATAGATAAAGATTTATTTCACACCGAAAATAAATCAAAACCAATGTCTGAATACATCAATTTCGTATGACTTACATTGATTAACAGTGAATTTTGTGTATATTAAACTGAGTATTACCAGACATTAATTTGCCAATAATGATTATTTACAATACAAAATTAACCACCTATAACCAACAGATATATCTAATATAATCACACCTCTTATAATGTGATTTCACATTATACGCGATTGGAAAAAACCCAATTGAGTATGTCATTTGAGCCGTCATCAATTAACATTGTTGCTCATCATATAAATGAATAATATCTGTACTAGTGTAAACGGTAGTGTTTGATTGGATCAATATTGAAATGAGAGAATAATAGTAAAGCAATAAATATGTTTGGATTTTTTTTTCATGGACTGCTGCAGCAGCACAAAAACATTTTTCTGCAAAGATTACATTCACGTAAATATTGAAGAATTTGCACGTAATCAACTGATATAATTTAAATTAATAAAACAACAGTGATAACGACTTAGTTAATGTAGAAAGAAATATATTTATCTTTTTAGAAAAGTTACAGAAATCAACACATTCAGTACGTAAATACAGGTAGAGTTTATGCAGAACTATAGAGTCAATAGTTTATACAGACCGAAACAAACAATGCTATAACTACTACTGTTACATTTTATTCTTAATTCACTGTTCGAATTCTTTTATACTATGTAATTTACCTGTATCAACATAACAGAGAAAATAATTTCCAAACTTTTCGTAAATACGCAATTGATGCAAGTAGTCAGAGAATAGTATGAGATTCAGAAACAAAAATGGGAAAATCTAAGACCGGTATGATTGATAAAGTATTTGATTGAGTGACGATTGAATAATCATTTGATAAAATGGGTCGAATGAATGATTTAGAATCCTAGTGAAATAATCGTTGAAAAAGTGAACTCTCATTTCAATGAATAATAATGTTTTAAGGAACTAAAGCTATGAAGAAGACTGAATAACAATTAGTTACTAATAATACAGTGAATGGTTAATAAAGAATAAAAATAAAAACCTATAAAACAATCGGTAGAGATTTACATCGCATTAACAGTAACAAAGAACCGTAAAATGATCAACATTTGGATAAAGGCAATTTAATAGTAGAGAGAAATTTGTAACTTGGGTAGATGGATTCAGTAAAGCTGAATCTCATAAGCTCGATGGTTTAATTTATGGAGATTTCTAGTTCACTCTTGAAAATATTACCATTAACTGTATGGCTTCCTTAAAAGTTTTGAAATTATATCATACTCTTTATTTTACCGACTTACAAAAAATCAAAAGAGAAATAGCCACGTTTATCATTAATTTAATAGATATTAACTGAGAATTCAAAAACTAACTTTTACCATACTTAATTAAACGGAAGATATTTTAATAAGATCTTATTTTAATTAATTACGTTAAGTGAAAATTACTTACCTTTAAAAAACACATCTAGACAAGTCGGAAAAATTTAAATAATTAAGTACAGAGAACAAATGAATGTGAGTTAATGGGCGAGAGAGTTTAAAGTAATGAATAGACAATAGATTATCAAGCCAAATCACCGCATAACAAAATAATAGAGACTAATTAGGAATGAAACTAGTTGACCGATTCTTGCATCCCAAACACTAAATGAATGCACAGGTTTTGAAAAAAGGTCCATAAACTTGCCAAAATTCTCCCTCGTGATTATTTTCAGACTAAAGTAGTACAGAAGTTTAACGGAAATTACTTAATCTGATGAATGGATAAAATCAATTGTTGATATAATATTCCCTTGCCAGATCCGAAACCGATTATTTAATGGATCCTATCACACGATGATAATAATCTGTATAATTATAGCTGCTTTCGTTAGTTTGTTTTCCTAACATACTAGTGATAACTGAAATTGTCTCATTAGATTATCAATTAGAAATAGCAATGAAATATTAAGGGTTTTAAATTTCGTCATAATTTTAACAAATTATCTATTTCCACATGATATACAATAATGTAACGGTTCGTTATCTGATCTTCCATACAAGTTAACAGTCAGTAATAATGAGAATTATCGCACTGAAGAGGACTGAATTTCGATCATGTACAAGTACAGGAGACGCTGGAGGTGGGTAGGGCAACATTATGAAAATTATTAAGCTGCATCATGAGGCAAACGCTCACTTGAGATCCTGAAGGAAGGGGGGCCGATCAAAGAACACATTGCTCCGAGAATTGAAAGCAGACATTAAAAATGGATATCACTTAGAAAAGGTTAAGAAGGAGAGCCCAGGACAGAGTTCCTTGGAGAATCCTGGTCAGAGGAAAATGCTCCACGAGAAGTAACAGGCGTAAGTAGGCAAGGCACATCTGTATGAAGAATCCTAAATAGGATGAAACATATATTCTGGATTCAACTGCTAATAACTTAAAATCTACAAGATTAATGGACCTATCTACCGAAGATGAGCATATACTAACAAAGAACAGTCAAAACATTTAGCTCTGAATATTAGCAACACGATGTAATACAAGCCATTGTAAATACTTCTATATAGTATGTTTAAACTAAAAATATAGAGATTTAATCCCAACTATCTCGAAGTTCAAATCAATATACCGATTTGAATGTTTCGGTTTTCGATATATGGTTTGATTTACACTAACACTGGAACTGATTTTAACTAAACAGTCTAAGAAAGGTAGTTCGCTACGTTCATCTTTTTTTAAAGTGAATTTGATGTGTTATGTGAGTATGTTTATGTGTTTGGAGAAATTTCTAAGTCTTTTTATTAGTGATAAATGTGTCATCTATGTATCATCTGAGCCAGATGCGTGGTCTGATTGTGCCAACACCTCGACCTCCGTTAATATTATAAAAAAGCTGAACATCTCACAAAAAATTATTGAAGATTGTAAGTTTGTAGTTTCGTACCCCTTCGATAATGAATTTAATGCTAAAGTAAGATCAATTTTTTTATAAATCTATTTTCAATGCGTCCATAGAAAATATTGAGAAACCTAATTTCACTTTTATTTCTAACTTTTCATACGCAAAAGATTTCACAAAGTACATCGTACTAGTATGCTGTTTATTCTTTTTCTAAAGTATTAAAGGTTATCAGAGCTGATCTGTAAAAACGAACTAACATATTTTATTTACAAATTTAAATCTTCAAATAGTTTAAAACGAGGTACTATTAAGAAAGATAGTAGTATATTCGGTAGTTTAACAGATACGTTTCAGTTATCTTAAAACAATCTTATCAAGCCATGATCACTACTATGGATTTTAAAATATCAACATTTTTTCACTGAATTTCGTTCAAGTTAGAAAACTTTATACCCTGCCTAATTTTATCTTTTCCTCACAATTGTTCTTTGAAACTAATTGTCCGTTCTAAAAAAATAGTTAGGTTATTTGTATTCTAGGTTAATATACAAAGTATGTAATCGATAATACTAAATACACAATTAAAACATTAAAAGGTCTTTTGCAAGAACCTTCATATTTCTTAGTTTGCGTCTATTGTTGAAGGGTCAACGTATTACTGTCGACATGCCATCTAATAATAATAGTATTATATATGAACTTAATATTACCATTTATAACCTGTTATAAGTAACTTCTTCTGTACACATGTAATATAAAAAGTTAGAAAACTCTTCAGACAGTTTACAGGCTTGAACTTTGTTTTACGGTGTTGCGATCCAAGATCGCAAATGGTCAGTCTCCGTTAACATATGAACATTGTAAGACGTTTGAAGCTTAAATAAATTAGGCTGGAATTCTAGTACGAATATTAATATCGTGATGTGTGTACAGTTGCATAAAGAGTACGGAATAGGACGAAATGGGTGTCCTGGATTGAATGGACAACCGAAATTGGAGAGACTACAATTTATGGACGAACCAATGAAACTAAAGATAGCTAATCTTGGATCTCAGCACGAAGTTCATTAATCCATGTGGCTAAATAGCAATTTGACATTATAACTAATGTTAACTCGTGATGAAAACCAAAACTTTGCTTCTTAATACTAACTTCTAACTTCGATCCTAGCAAGTAGGTAAGTTTTCTTAAGGTCACTTTGGGAGTCGCAAAAGGGTGTCCATAAATTATAGTTTCACCCTGAAATCCAAATCTACCAAAAATTCATATTGTCAAGTGTAATTGTAAAGCTGGTTAATGTGTCCATCATTTCCACAGTTACACTCAACATATATTACAAATTCTACCTGTTTATAAACATTTACATTCCAATAATTCTAAATACATAATTAATTTAACTAGCTTGTATACAATACACAGACAGGCACCTTATATATATATATATATATATATATATATATATATATATATAAACACAATGTAACTAGTTGACTTACAATAAATGTACACATAACAAATGTAAATGTATGGATATAACTAAGTATGTTTATAGAGATCACTCTATTTCTTTCTTATGTGTACAAATGGATATGATCTAATTACTAATTGGTTGAAAAATACTTAACTCATTCAATCAGTCATTATTTCATTAGTATACAAATATGTATGCATGGTAAAATCTAATTATGTAAAAATGAATATACATACATATGAATGTATCTCTTCCTATGAGTAAAACAGTATAATAAACATTGCTCGCCTAGAAATTACCATCAATAGTCAGACTGTGTAAGTTTAAATCCAAAATTTACATACGAAAAAGAAATGTAGTTCTACAAAATATATTTAAACATCAACTTTTCGCCACTTTCTTCTTTATGCACTTTCATAATCGTTTCTTTTTTGTTTATAAACCAAATTTTATGTTTATACAGAGAATTTAAGTTAATTTTCATTAAAAATTGGCATCAGGCGGAGAGAGTACCAATGAATAATGTGTGTGGTCAAGAAATACCAGAAGTTAAACAATAACTTAAACACGAAATAAAAACTGCTACAAAACAATCGAATACGTTTAATGATTTATCCAGTATATATATATATATATATATATATATATATATATATATATATATATATATATATATATATATACTAGAAGTAGTAAATGAGATGAGATAAAGTTAATCATTCTCGCTCAAAACACATAATTTAACTGGATAACGGATCACACGACCCAATTGTTCGATCCAACAAATACACAAACTTAACAAATTTTAGAGTACTTTCGTTATTTCTTATTTTTATTGAGTCTAATCCCCTATTATTTCATTTTGCTTTTTAAATGCAAAATGATTATGGAGTGGGGCGAATATCTTGATCGCACAGAATAGTATAAATTGAGAACAGTATAAAAGATATCTAACTACTTATCATTTTATGATTGAATTTATAAAAGGTAGGAAGTGTACATAAATTAATTCGAAATTAGATGTGTTTGAGCAATAACAACGAGATAGTAAGAACAAAATAATCTATACATATTCTAATAATAATTCATGGTGCTTTGAATTCACCTTCATGCTATTTAGAAAGTACAAATGAGCCAAAGTAAACCAAGTTAGGAATGGAGCAGTAAATGACCGAAGAGAAGATTAATGAGGATTGTAGCACATAATAAAAGTTGACTGAAATTGAAAAAAAAAACGATATTGCATTCCAACTCAGTGATCTGAAATATTATGCTTATAACAAGACCTGATGATAGTCATATGGAGTTCGAATGTATATAGACTCGGAACTGGGATGCAGAGTACTCCCTAGTTATGACTAATCAACTAACTGATATTAGTTTTTTTGCGAAAAAGGCATTTGAAAACCATACAAATCTCTCTCATTTATCAGGTATAGACTCGTGTAATGGCTATTGAAACTACACATAGCCCAGACTGAAGTAGGTGGGACGGGATTCGAATTTGAGACTTAATGGCTGAAAGGTGAACACCTTATCCACTTAGCCACCGCTTTGAAAGCAAAGCACTACAATAAAGATTCAGGTTATTCATTGTATTCTACGTTCAATATCTAATTGTCAACAAGTCAAGTGTTACACACCGTTAGTTATAGAGTGGTTTCTAGAATCGATAAGCCAGAATTCTTCTTGTAACAGCATAAACTAGGATGAAATCTCATGTTATGAAAGTAGTAGAACGAAAATTCTGACTACTAAAATCAAAATTTCTTAAATAATAAACTTACTAATTATTTTGCGCATATTCTTGAATGATAAGTATTCATCGACCATCTCATATTTGGGAAGAGGGAAGGAAGTGAAGAAATGGAAATCAGAAATGAAAATGATGGTTAACAAAATACAGATATTGAATGACATTAATTAATGATATAATTGAACAGTATGTGTTGTCCAACTATTTGTGCACATTAAATGAGCGAACAGTCAACAAATGTCTAGTAAGTTAAACATATCACTTATTCAGATAGGCTTCAAATCATATAGGTAGTTATACACAGGTGAAATATGGTAAATTCAACATCTACAGCTTACATTTTACTCACGATTAAAATAGATCAATGACACTAACGTAACAATAGCTGATGTAGGTTTGATTCCTTTGAAGAGCATCAGTTCGCATTTAGATTATAGATACTCTCTATTCATGAATGTTAACTAGCACAAAGTTAGCATTCAAACCTCCGATAAGAGTAATTTTTACGAACGAACAATACATATAGTTCAATGCTAGTAAAGGTCAAAAATACAGTACCAAAGGGAGAACAACAGAATTATATTTATGTGATCACAGTGACAGATCTGCTTGTTGAACATTTGTTACTGACTAGCAAGACGCTCTCTATAACCCCCGGTAATTTCTACGCTGCAACTCGAACATTAGAGAAAATGTACTAAATGTCAGTACCAGCTTTACTACAAGCATAATTCTGTATAGAAAATGCAATGTAATTACATACTTTCATGTGACCTTAGTCATCCACAACTGGATATAGTAAAAATCTAGGTAATTATCCAATCTTTATTTTTCTAGATGTTTAGAAGTCTCTAGTCAATAGTAGGTGGACAAAACATTTTCAGTCTTTTCCCGGGACACTGGAAACTATTTCGAGGGATATTTGTGGACATACAAAGATTTATATTCACACCTAACAGAATCCAAATCCACCATTTTAACAGGATTGGACAATGTTTTGGTATAGTTGTTCTGTGAACCCTATTTATGTTTGGCGATTTCGTTCTTTAGTTATTTGCTGAAGAAGACCAAACTGTCACGGGGAACATTGAAATTATTCTTAATTTCAACTGCTGAAAATTTCACAAATATAATTTCCTTTTATGTATTAAATAAGAATTTCTTTTCTTCAAAACTTGTTTTATAGTGCAGTACATTCTTTTCGAAAAATCACTCGACCTTGATGAATTGTTTACTTGTTGACATTTTTCCTCAGTCACTTTGTGTGTCTATATATGAACTCAAAAGATTTGGAGACAGATACTTTTCAAGACAAAACAAATTGGATAATCAAACAAAGTGACAGGTCAATCAGCAATAATCAACGTGGAGCTCAGTAAAAATGTCAGTTGACCCAAGTTACAATAGGTTTGAACTTAACAATAGTACACATCGATAATCTTCTGTGAAGGATCGTATCCATGAGGGCTGACGCAGGTTTCACAATGAAAAACTTAGTATGTTATTGAAGAGGGGGAATTTGAACAATTTAAAATTAATAGGGATTAATTTGATTTATTCAGTGTCAACTGCTTATTACTTTCTTTCATATTCAACTTCGTTGACTTTGCACGCCACAATATATGAAATAAAACGCTAGAAATTTTATATTTGGAAAAGGCATTACTGATTAACAGAATAGATTACTTTTTGTTGAGATTTGAAGGTGTTCGGCGTTAGACTGTATGGAATTATCATTGTGTATTACTGAGGTCTCATTACGTACTGGAAATAAAGTAAAAACATGTCTCTCTGTTGGCAAACATTCGCCGATCGTGATAAAATTTATCTTCAGTTTGTGTTAAACCTTTATATAAATACAACATCAACCATGATAATACTTACATTAGTTGAATCTGCCACTGAATAAAGGCTATCAGTTAGCGAAAAACTACTTCCAGATTGAGCAAAGCATGTACCGCTTTCTACAACTGTAATTAACAGATAAAAACAACATTATTATTACTATTATAATGAATTTTATCGTGAATACTTGAACTTTACTAAGGCTTTAATTTCTACGTAAATGAATTTTTGAATTGATTTGCGATCTATGGTCAGCCGAGAACAATTGCATAACATGAAAACGAACAATAGTTATACATGTATATAATTTAATGAATTCTCATTTGATGAAATACACTATGAACGCGTGAATTTTATAAACACGACACATTCATTAGCCAAGCAGTATGAAATCCTACATGCTCAACACTCCATTACTTATAGAATACGACCAGTGTCAATTTCATTTTACAATCCTTACTAGACCAGTTTTGCAAACAACAAGATTTGTTAGATATCAAAGTTAACTGATTCCTGAATGATAATCAATGTTACGAATAGACATCACTGACAAAGTTTTTGTTGCATAGTAATCACTAAACTGAATGGTGTGAACGCTGTACTGTATTTTATGACAATAAGCATTTTGATTACATTACGTGTTTGTAGGTACCTGCCAGTAAAGTATTCGAAGGTAATGAAGAAATAGATATGGATTATGAAATTTAAAATGATAACATTCAAAGACACAGTTTAGGGCGATGTAGATAATCTCCAACTTACTGAAACTACAAGCATTTACATGTGCTAAACAAGATCAAATTATTATCAGTTAAACAGTTGGTAGCAACATCCACATAATGATTAATCCGCACTATAAATGTAAACCAACAGTACTCATCTGATTGATCACAGTAGACTTAAAACAAGTATCATGGAATAAACACCATTTGTGTAAAAATATGATGCGTCAGGAACAAAAAAACACTGTGAAAATAGACAAAATCCCTAAATGAATTCATTTAACTTAACTATTTGATTATGGCTGAAGAAACAATTCCATTGGTTTGAAACTCCATAGAATTATACCAAATATAACAATAGAGAAATTTGAATTCAAGAATCCAAATGGTCATAATGATCAAATTTGGCCGCTATCTGATCGGTGTTAAAAATTATCATTATTAATAATGACAACAATATTCAAAGGTAACTGTTGGGATTCATTTATGGACTAATATTACACGTATATTCATGTTGTATATTTATTAGGTAACTAGATTAGGTATAATCATAGTCCTCTTATCATAAGCTTTATTTTGACCTATAGACTATTTGATATAATTTACTGTTTTTGAGTTGTTTCCAGTTTATTAATTACAGTTTCCCACAATCGGAGCCACTATTTGGCATGATCTTGTATAAATGTTATTTTCTATTTTATGGTGTGATGTGGTCTGTTTGGTTTGTATATAAACCTAGTATGTTTGAAATATGTGATAGATATAGTGGAAGCTGGTATTGGTTTTATGGCATCAACTGTCAGTGCTAGGCGAAGAAAAGGACCAACCGGGACTCGAGACTGCTCATACAGGTCTATATATCATTGGTTTGGCGCAGGGCTAAGATTGTATAAGTCATATTCCTATTGGCGAATAAGTCACGTGATAATTAGCCGAGCTTAAAAACACAACGGTTTGCACTTCACCTTTACAAATTGATTCAGTTACAAGAAAGTTTATATGAGGATTATTTCTTCATTGTTATTACCTTCCTCTTGATGAATTTTATTTACTAATATCTTGGTAAAACATAAATGCAAATAACATTTGTACCATAATTGTTATGAGCTTCATGGGGACTTGCTTTTGCAGCCAATATTATGCTATGGAGATTGTTTACCTTGAATGATTACAAAAAGGGTAAAGTGGAGGCATTTGCTTGGTATGCACATATTACAAAAAGCCTGGTCAAATATCAGTTCTGATATTGTCAATGAAATACTGTGAACCATCACGAATAATAAAGAAATACTCAAGACGCGTCTGTTTTCCATACAATCCAAAACGTTTCTTCACAATAATTTGCGACATTGGTCTGACCATAAAGAATAAAACAGTCCATCTTTTTTTTACCAATTTACTTATATTGAATGTGATCAGCCCCAGTCAATTAGTGACTAACAAACTCAATATTAAATCCTTGCATAAGTTCTCTCGAATAATGTTATGTATGGTGCTAGTGTTCTACCTTATTATGGCCAACTTCACTACTCGGCAGTTCGTTCTTTATTACTTTATGATTGCAAAACAGGTACATTTGACTAAAGGGTTTAGTGACAACCAAACCAAATGTGACTGTTGAATCGTATCAAGAAATGCAATTATTTTTATTGGGACTCGTAATATGGTCATAACCATTTTGTGGAGGCTTTGGGCAACAGCCCAGATGTATTCAACATTCATTTTTCTCCGGATCTTCGATGTAATTATTATTTTATACTTGTTGTTTCTTGACCACGTTCATTGTGGAAGCTGGTATTGGTTTTCTGGCATCAACTGTCAGTGTTAGGCGAAGAAAAGGGCCAATCGGGACTCTAGGCTATTCGTATATGTGTATGCATCATTAGTTGGTTTTATAGGTCAGCGTACCTTAACTGGCAATCGCATTTCGCGATAATCGTATAAGCTAAGGACAACAAATACCATACCTTTAATAACAGTAAAACATTTCTCAGCACAAGATGTGAAATATCAACAGTGTCTAGTTTCAGTAAAAAATTTTACCCAACTTTGTTCATTCTAACTAGATCGATTATTTTTTTAAAGGAGAGACCACAAGGAAACTACGTCAACAATAGTGACAGTTCGGTTAGAATTTAACAATGATTAGCTTGTGTTAATGTGTAGGCTTGTTATTAAGGCGCATAAGTGCATGTAGTTAGCATATGTAAAAACAAATCTAACATAAGAAACTTTATTGAGATATTTCAACATGTGAAGAGTATATGGCTGAGAAACTTCAGCTGGTTACCATGCTACTTTATGATGACAGTTTTCTATTAGTGTTGATACATGACACAAGCTTTAAGCAATAAAATTAGCCACCATAATATTATACTTGGAACCGAAAACTGTTCAGTCATTAGGGAACATCTAGTCTATCAGTGGACAAACACGATAACATATGAGATCGAACGCAGCATAAACATTTTTATGTACCTTTAGATTAGTGGATTCATAGTATTAATTTTAGTCAATTCTTAATGTAACATGATCGTCAATTAGAGACAGAAAGGTTATATGACTGATATAAAGCTAGGAACCAGCACAGTAGAAATTCTTATCTAACAAAAAACAAGTTCAATGCTGAATAAAACAAAAGCAACCAAGTCTCTAATCTTACAGTACACCACGCTGAATACATAGAAACACTAGTATGTAACTATTTTTTTAAATAACAAAATAGGTGATCATACAGACTTAGTGGAGAATGCAATCGATATGATAGACATACAAATACAAAGACAGAGAAACAGAAAACACAACGGCCAAGTCAATATAGAATGACAATCAATTATTTCATATATGCATACATCTAGATCTATAGTCAGTCGTTTTAATTGCTTTGTGAACTATACTAAGAATTGTGATTAACCAAATATGTAGAACCATAAAACAATATGATGTTGCGCAGACGCACAAATACTAACATTATTTGTTCACAAATTCATGAGAAGGTATTGTTACTACCACAGATAAACATAATCATTCAAACACACACAGAGAAAACACGACGAAATTGATACAAAACTACTTTTTTTCATATAATTTAACAAAGTTGTATATTTTCAATCAGCATCGTATTTTCAAATAAATACAAATATTTTACAATTAAAAAAGTGGGCCATGTTTGTAAACAATAATACTGACAAAACAATAAGAATTAATTGTTTAACTGATACATTTTATAAAACTTATGAAGTGTTTATGTGTGTTCAATACGTTAATTGATGCTGTAATTGACCAGAAATATATTCTTAAGTAACAAAAGCGTTTACTACTGCCGGCATATTATATGATACGCATACAAGCGTCTTAGTAACAAAATCATCTATATACATACATACTTTGATTGAATGAAAGTTTGGGCAAGTTAGGTTCAAACTTTAAATTCACAATAACAATATTCTTGATTGATGAATGAATACAAAGATTATTTATTATTCCAGTTTAGCTTATTCACAGAGTGAAAATAAAATGCAATAATTGTCAATATTGGCTTGTTGAGATTGTTGAATTTCATTGAAATCATGAACCAGGTTTCAATAGCTGTCTACCTTAGACCGGTTCGTGATTTCGACAAAAACATAATAAGGTCGAATATTAATATTGCTTAATAGATAAATTACTGAATGAATAAAAACAAAGAAAGATCTACATCAAATATGTCAGCCTACTCTTATTTCAATATGATTATACGGATGTCACTGACACATAACCAATATCACTGACTATCTAGTATTTGAGGCTGATCGAATTCTGTCGACCAAAGTCCTCCATTCGACTAGGTCACGGTATATCTTCTTTGGTGTAAAATTATGGACAGCTACTGACAATCAATTTCACAACATAAAATGATTTAATATATAGTGATTAGTTAGAATAGACATCATAGTTCGACAGTTCTTAAAAGTAACATTCATAATTACAGCAGTCCGAATTGCATGTGAATTACAACTTTCATCACGATTATAATATATATCAACCGACCTAGACTTAGAGATACAGTTCACTTCTATTAAAATAACCATGAGTTACGCTGAAACAAAATGAAGCATTCACTATATTGTATTTGTTCGGAATCATAAGTCAGTAAGTCAGTCAGCTACATCGTAGGGCCATGCACATATATGGATCGGTCCAGGTTGCCATACCGCATCAGCACAACAAGATGAACACCGGATTCATAGGAGTGGTTAGGTCAAAGGTGGTAATATATAAAAGAAAGATTGCATATAAGGATACAGTACAGGAAGAAAGAATTAGTTAGTAGAAAGAAAGATATGAAGCAATTTTAATCTCTTAGTTTAAGGGAAGACAGGGAGTGTATACACCGACGCCATTGTGATCGATTCTGAGCCATGTCACCAAGTCTCCAACCATTGGTTACGATAGTCACGCGGACCCCAACCAAGTAGTCTGCATCTACCAAAATGGCTCAGACTAGAGGTTAGTGTCTTCAAGCACTGATGCCACGTTTTGGTTTGGCCGCCCCTCACTTTCTTCCAACCATCTCCAACACCCGTTAGCATTGCACGTCGTGGTAATCGGTGTTCGGGCATACGTAACACGTGGCCCAACCAACTCAGTCGATGAAGATTCACAACCTCATCAACTGATTTACCATCATTCCCTAATACCCTGCGTCTAACCTCACTATTACTTACCCGGTGATCCCAGCAGACGCCAGCAATATTTCTGAGGCATCTGTGGTCAAATACTAGTAGATTACGAGTGTCTTCTCCTACTAATGGCCATGTTTCGCTGCCGTAAAGTAAAACATAACGGACTGCCGCGCAGTATACTCGTCCTTTTATTGATAGACGGATATCTCGCCTTCGCCAAAGGTGACGCAAGTTGGCAAAAGCCAAACGAACTTTTCGAATCCGTGCTGAGATTTCGTCAGACACCAACCCATTAGGTCTGATCAGACTTCCAAGATAAGTGAAGTTGTCAACGCGTTCGACTACTTCACTCCTTATCCTTAGTTCAGGTGTTGACGCAGGTCAGTCCTGAAGCAACAACTTGAATTTAGAGGGAGAGAAGCGCATTCCAAACATTTTGGCATTGTTGCTCAGTGCTATCAAAAGACTCTGCATTTTATCAGCATCTTCACCAAACAGGACTATGTCATCCGCGTATTCTAAGTCGATAAGTGGACCTCCCGGTAGGAGATCAATACCCGAGAATTCAGTCGATGAGAAAGTTATTTCCATCAGCAGGTCTATGATGAAGTTAAACAAAAACGGAGAAAGTGGACAGCCTTGACGGACACCACTTGAAGTTGCAAAAGTAGATGACAGTTCACCATAAGCTCTGACTCGACTAGTAGTGTTCGAGTAAAGAGCCTTTACAAGGTTTATTTACTTCTGGGGTACGCCTTTCAATGACAGACACTGTCACAGAATCTCGTGGTCTACCGAGTCAAATGCTGCTTTTAAGTCAACAAGGACCACGATTGTCGGACACCGATAAGCATGCCTGTGTCCTAAAACCTGATGAGTGGTGAATATTTGGTCGATGCAGCCACGACCAGGTCTTAAGCCAGCCTGATTTTCTTATATTCGCAGTTCACGAGTCTTTGTTGGTCTCCTGATAATTGATAAGGCTAGTATTTTAGATACTATGTTAGTTAAACTAATTCCTCAGTGGTTGTCACAGGATGAATTTAACCCTCTCATATGTATTGGGACGATCAGTGATTGCGACCAGTCAAATGGGATAACGTCTGACTCCCAGATCTTAGCTAAAATATTAGTCAACCTAATCGCTAAATTTGGACCACCATCTCTAAAGACCTCTGGAGCCAATCAATCTGGACCATCTGCCCTTCCTCGTTTCAGATTAACTATAGCGTTTTGAACTTCTGCTAGAGTTGGGGGACCTACTTCAATGTTCCATTCACACTGTCTGGGAATGGAGGGTAGTTGTAGAGTAGCTGAAGGCCAGTTGAACTGTTCTCTGAAATGTTCCGCCCATTGTTCTAAACGTCTGGACTGGGAGCAGATGAGAGTATCGTCTTTTTCCGATATAATCTCACTTACACTTGACTTATTAATTCCAGTTTCTTTTATTATTCTGTAAAGCTGTCTTGTGTTCCCTATATATATTCAAGTGAAGGATAACTTATCAGTAAGAAATTAGAAAATTATAAAAAATACTCATTACTGATGGACTACGGACCCTGATAACTTAGTGTTTTTAATTATCGATCGTCTTACTGGAAATAATAAATGGCCTGTAACTAAAAATTAACTTAGTTACCCCTCAATGTGATAAGATAAAAAACAAAGTGATTTCCCTATCACATTCATACATATTTTCAGTTCTTGATAAACCATAAACAAAGCTATTGCATAATGTAGACAAAATTAAATGTTTGCACAAACGGAAATAGAAACTTTTACTACGACAGATAGGAATTCATTCGTTTATATAGCATGGAGGAAAAATGCTTACTATTCACTTATGAAATACATAACATTCTGCTTAACTTCACTTGGTGTTTTTTTACTTATATCTTCCCATTGTTATTTAGGATTGCAATTCATCAGTCTGTTGTTGGCATATGTGCATCCTGTGCGGATTGCCTCGATATGGCCTTGAGTCACAAGCTTTTTAAACCAAGATGGATAGTGGCCAGCAGTGGAATCTAGGACGCGCGTTTCGTCCTATTTGAAACTCGTCGGCTGGATGTAAATGCATCCCAGAGGTGACGTTTACTCCGGAACTCGGACCCAGTAGCGTTTGCTTCAAATGCCATCGCGTTATCCACTTAGTTAATGAGTCCTGAGAGCCACCTGCTATCAGGTACTGGGGTTTGAGTCCTGGAGTGAGCATCAACTTTGGGATGCAGCTGACGGGTCCCAAATAGGAAGGAACGCGTCCTGGAGTCCACTGCTCACCACTATCTATTAATTCTGCTTAACTGTTCCAAATTAACCTTAATTAATAAACAGTAACAATGAACACATTCAATTTTCAGGTATCATTATTTACAAGATCAGTGTCACCTGTATATAAATATGCGTGTAAATTAAAGTACACTTTTACTGTATACGCATATATTACAAAATATTTATTGAGTATAGAACGTCCTGTTATCAGTTATATAGAAATTAGATGAACTAACACCTATAAGTACATGCATTAATAAGAGTTTCAAATTATATTAATTTTTATTACCAAAATTGGAAAAAAATATGTAAATGACAAATTTATGAAACAGATGAAATAGCCTACTCTCCGTTACTGGATTAGACGTTTGAACCCTATTCTATCCACATATATTCTAGGCAGAGAGTATGAAAACAGTGCCGCCCAAATTCAAGTACATAGGACTCTGTTTCAGTAACTCAGTTGCAATAAGAAACAGTGAATGAATGATTAGAACTTGCATGGTACCTTACATTGAGTACAGATTACATACTGATGAAAAATTAGTTTCAATTACCTGTAACTAATTAATGAAAGAGAAGCTTTTTAAACTCAGAGTTGATTTACACTTCACATGTAAGGGTCAGTGGTATAACAGTATGGATTGTTAAAACAATAGAAACAGATTCTCAATGAAAACACACGAGTCAACAACAAGTACGAATGATTCCCAAGTCAGTACCTTGTATCCTATTAAAGCATATAAATATCCGAAGATGATATCTGGTCTATAACTGTAATAAATTTTAACCTAAAAACTATAAATACTCCAGTAATATTATTCGGATTGTGTATGCTACTTATGTCGACAGATATATGAAGGTAAACTTGAAGGAAACAGAAACGGAATTAGAAAGGAATTATGAACTGAAAGAAGCATATAGAATGTCAAGGAAAATGATGAAAAATAGTAAATGGAGTATTTAATGCATGGTTCTTATATTTTATAAAGAGAATCTATAATTTTGTATCAAAATGGATTTAGTTGTCCCACCTGTCTGTTCATTCACTGCAAGATCATGTATCAAGTCTCAAAATCTATAGTAGGAAATATTTAACCTTATCGATCAAAACCTTGGAATGATGATTTCTAATTTACTGACCTCACCTCGATTACCTTAACGCGAAGTGGTTGAAAGAGGCTTCAAATATGAGTCTGGATGATTAAGCGGTTAGTACTTTAACTGCTAAGTTACTGAACAGTAGAGAGAAGAGACAATGAAACACAAGAAAGCGATTGTATTGTTTGTGGTGATTAAATCAGAAACACAGTGACGTAATATTTTGCCGAGACATTTTCCGATGTAGTCGGTGATATAGTCATACCTGAATTCATCCCTTCAATGCCCTGGTACGGCCGAGAGTGAAGAGAGTCCGCTCTCCCTCTCGAAATGCTCTCACATGGTCACGTGTATAAAGCCACTGACAGGGAAGTCCCACTCATTCTCTTCTCGTGATGTGGGTGTTGTTTACGAAATTGAGAGGACGAAAAGTGAATGTCCCGCACTTTAACCGGGTTGGTGAATATGGAGGATCCAACTAGGGGAGTTACAAAACCCTGATTCCAAACCAATGGTGAACACGGACTCCAGGATCCTGAAGGAACAAATGGTTTATGAACCAATCGTTGGTCACCGGCTACCATGAGACTGTATCTCCTTACGTTGCTCCACTGCCTTGTTGATTAGACCTTTAGGTCGAAGGCTCGGGGTGTGACCCCTTAAGGAGACCACCTGCTTCGGTCTGGGCACTTGGGCAGTATCCCAGCCCCCACATTAATCGAATGATTTATGTGGCGCATATCTATTTTTACCTTCTTGTATCAATGTTTACGTGTTTAAATAAATAAATAAATAAATCAGCTAAAATTAAGAAAAAACATGCTTCACATGAAATGAAAACATACAATTCAGTTTTCAACAACTGAGCTATTCAAAGGCCATCTGGATGATTTTAACACGTAAACAAAATATGGATGTAAGCTAATCACAAAGTAAATTAGTCACTTAGTCAGAGCAGAGTACAACCAGCTACTTATATGCATCGGTTCAAGTTGCCACATCGACATCGTCAACCTATGGTTACCATAATCGTGAGGACACTAACCAGGTAGTCTGCATCTAGCAATACAGATCAGTTAAACAGTAAATGACTTTATGGACTGATGCCACATCTTGGTTTGACCACACTCAACTTTTTTAAAATCCACTCCTGAAATACGGATGGTTGACATTATTTCAATTTTATAAGTGTGTTAAATAAAGTGCTAGGACAAAGCGTTAACAAATAGATACTATGAATTCTTCATCAACCAATAATAATAAATACTTACGACTGCTTTCACGACATAGCATTGTTCCATCTAAACATGTTGAATTCATACGTGCACCAGGAGCCGAGTTCACAATACTGGAATTTTTATCATCAACAGTACCATAACACACTGATTGATTAGTAAAATGTTCATTACCGCTTACACGTGGATAATTGGTACCATCGATAAGTGGATCAGGAGATTTGCCATCATATAATCGTAAATAAATCGGATTATAAGGAATTGACAAAACTGTAGTATCATAACCAGCATTTACTAGTGATTCAGTTATTTTATCTGATGAAAACAATAGATCATCATTTATTTCAAATTCAGTTGGATAACTGTTTGAAAACAAACAAACGACGGAGACATTAATTATTACCACTATTAATCATAAGAGAGAATACACAGATAATAACTTTGATAGATGCCACTACAAAAAGATTTTAAGTTGAAAACAATTGTGACTTGGGTGGCGAACCACATTGACAATGATGAGGTAGTAAATAACTGATGACAAAAAGTGAAAATAGCACTATAGTTAATTAAAAAAACAGAAACCATTGGATATTGACTCACGGTATCGTGGTCATCATTAGAAATGAGGGTTACGAGTTCTATCGTGAGTGAATTAATGTATGCATAATGCTAACCAAGGCTGGTGTAGGAGTAGATTTTAAAAACGTTGAGTGTGGTCAAACCAAGATGTGGCATCAGTCCATAAAGTCATTTACTGTTTAACTGATCTGTATTGCTAGATGCAGACTACCTGGTTAGTGTCCTCACGATTATGGTAACCATAGGTTGACGATGTCGATTGACATGTCCGAGAATCGGTAACAATAACGCAGATGCATACATCCTTTCTCTTTCATTAGATCCTTGACGTCGAACGAATCTTATACTTTTTATTCAATGAATTCATTACATCTAAAATAATCTTGTCCATGCCAAGTTGATTCTACCAGTATTGATATTAGTATTACTTTTACTACTGTGATATATTACCTTGTTGTGCTAATGTAGTGTGGCAACTTGAACCGATGCATGTTGTACTCTGCTCTGACTAATTAACCTATTTCACCAATACCAAGACAATGTTTCATTAAAAAATAGTATCAGCTGAAGATTTATGAAAAATCATGGTGGAATTAATGTTTTGGTCGAGGTTTTTTTTGTATATAAATAACAGTTTTTATTTTCCTCAATATAGATTTAACTTTTATTTTGGCTTTCTATCTTTAAAAAAAAGCACTTTAAGGTTCAGAACTCGTGGTTATGTGAGTAAATTATGCCCAATTATGTCCATTTCATCAACAAATTGTGACATCATAGCATGAAACATATCTAAACTTGTAGTGCCGACGTTGTTGTTAAAGTATTCAGTTTTATATCAGTAGATCATAGAATCAAACCTCGCTCCATCAGCTACTTTATTGAGAGTAGTCGGGTACAAAGAATGTCCAGTGAACAATTATTTGATTGGATTTTTTTATTTGGTCCAGTTGATTAGAAATCTACTGTCTTTAGTCTTCCGATTGTACAATATCAGCATGCGTTTGCCATAGATTTTAAAAGAAAAACTCATTAACTAGGTACAGATTCGTGTAACTGGCTATTGATACTACCCGTCGTTCTAACGAAATTATTCGGAACAGGGTTTAAATTTGAGACTTAATGGTTGGAAGTCAAAACCTTAGCTACTGAAACATTACTCATCAGCGACTGATGACAGTTTTGCAGTAAATATTATCTGCATATAGTTAATTGACATAGACGAATTGAAGAAAAACAAAAATTGATAAATAACATACGTGAAGTATCAAAATAAAAATTACCTATCCACAGTATTTGTTCGATTAAATGCAACAGAAGGCAGTAACCACGGTGCTATGTCTCTTCGACGTTGAATAACCTATTTAAAGTGGAAGAAAATAAGCCAAGTAAGAAATCCGACAAAAATATAGTGGAAAAATCCTTGAAGTTCGTAATACATAAATGCGATTAGTGGGGACTTGTCAAATTTGAAGATCATGAATTAACATCTGCTAAGGTGCCACCGAAATATGGAGAGCAGTAAATATATATGTTTCGCTTCTATTTTAAAACATTTCATATGATCCCACTTCAGATTGCCCTCAAGATTTCCACGTGTCCTGAAGATCTAATGAGAAGACATAATCAGCGTCACGAACCGCATCGGAAGTGGAGTGAACTCCCGTTAATTATAGTAAATTATGATCGTGTAATTATGCAAACTAAAGACGCTTTATGAAATTCAAGCGTTGAAGACAGAAATCTGAATGCAGAAGTATCATATTCAGAATCTAAATAAGCCTAATTTCTCATGATTTTTCCTACTCAACAATATGTTATTCTTAATAACTTCATTGTTTTCATTTCCTCACCAACTAGATATTCGCCAAGTGGACAATCAGCTTCCATATATTTAAACGGTCAACTACTCACTAACTTTATCTATTACACAACCTTCTGGTAACATTTGAAATTTCTAAACACTTTGTGAAGAAGCCACCTTCTATTTATCAATAGACTGACAAACATTTTCTAAATAGTCATAAAGACAATTGTATAGCTCCAGTAAATGATATTGTCAAAAAAATGATAAATTTGATTCGTCAAATTATTTGTAATCATTTTTCAGTTAGATTCACTTGGTATTGTTTTGCTTGTATCTTCCCATTGGGGTTTTAAGACTGCAATTGATCAGTCTGTTATTGGTATATGTGCATGCTGTGCGTATGCCTCGATATTGCCTTAATTCACAAGCTTTTTTAATTAGTGTTAAGTTCATCGCATATTAGGATTGTATCAAGCTTACCAAAAATACATAAAAACCATGGATACAACTCCTATATAAGATAGCAGGAAGGAGCAACTAATGGCTTCCGAATGAAAACAAAATAGTTGCCTAGTTCTTAAAAGCGTTCAATGGTTCCCTAAATGATATGAGCTTTTGGTGACGTATTTATAAAATATAACAGAGATCAGTGATAACAACATTAGACTGAGGATATAGACCCGAGAACACCGTCAATATATTTTCATTCATCGTATTCACTATTATATATATATATATATATATATATATATATATATATATATATATATATATATATATATATATATATATATATATATATATATATATATATATATATATATATATATTGATATACCACTATGAAAAATAACCAAAAGTCACTTACAGTATAAATATGTTCACTAAGTGATTGAAGATTAATCAACTGAACAAGTAGTGTTATTGTACTAGCTAATAATGCATGTAAAGCACAGCGATGTGTTAACGGCATATAAGTATTTTCATCAATGATTTTTGTTTGAACTGCCAAGATTAAACGAAACAATTCTGTAATAACCTGATGAAAAAAATGTGACAGAAAGAATTGGTTTATTAAATAAAAATAAATCAAACAAACGAGAGTGAAGTAAAACGTTTTGTGAAGAAACATACACTTGATAAGTTTTGTATCATCTACTATTCCACGATTCACAACTTCAATACAATTATAAAACAAAACAAAAGATATAAAACATAAGTTAAAAACCATAATCTTGCATCCAACCGTTGAAAAAACAAAAATAACACTCAGAAATCCTATTGCAGATAAGATGTAAGCTGATTAATAAATTACGAAACGTGAGGGTATATAAAGGAATCCAATTCAGATACCTTTGAGAATAGACGAGTAAGAACGCAGGTATCAGGGCGTCAAACTCAAACTTACAGGTGTAGTTCCTAATTCAAAAAAAGAGCATTTTAAGTGTTTTTATGGCTAGTTCTAACTGAAATTCTAAGAAACTGGATTTTCGAACACTGAATATTAAGGAAGGAAAATAAAACGTTCCCAGAAAATCTAATTCACATTACATAGATTTGCTAGCATTGATAGAATGATTAATTACAGTAGTTGTGATGATAACGCAATAGGATTGATTTCAATTGAAACTTAATATCAACAATCATACTAATAAAACGGGATATTAAACGAGGAAGCCGACCTGTATTATAATATGGGAGTTAGAAGAATTCAGAACGGAAGTTTCAGATTACGTGAAACGCAAAACGCAATGTCCTAACCACTAGACCACAGCGACCTATGTCCCCAAATGCCCTGGTACGGCCGAGAGTGAGGAGAGTCCGCTCTCCCTCTCGAAATGCTCTCACATGGTCACGTGTATAAAGCCACTGACAGGGAAGTCCCACTCATTCTCTTCTCGTGATGTGGGTGTTGTTTACGAAATTGAGAGGACGAAAAGTGAATGTCCCGCACTTTAACCGGGTTGGTGAATATGGAGGATCCAACTAGGGGAGTTACAAAACCCTGATTCCAAACCAATGGTGAACACGGACTCCAGGATCCTGAAGGAACAAATGGTTTATGAACCAATCGTTGGTCACCGGCTACCATGAGACTGTATCTCCTTACGTTGCTCCACTGCCTAGTGGATTAGACCTTCGGGTCGAAGGCCCCGGGTGTGACCCATTAAGGAAACCACCTGCTTCGGTCTGGGCACCCGGGCAGTATCACAGCCCTTACACATATCAAATGGGAATTGTGTGTCGCATATGTATTTGGTGCCTCCTTGTACTAATATCTACGTGGTAAAATAAATAAATAAATAAACGTGAAACACATCAATTGTAGGCATTCGCTGTTAGTGGTATGTAGAATAACTAAAAAATTTGACGAACTGAATAATATTTGAAACGCTTACTAAGCCGTGTGACCCTGATTTAACTAATCATTCTTAATTTGAAGATGTGTGAATTGCCAATCGATAACACATTGTCATTTATCGTACACACACAATCGTAATTGTTACCTTGTTCATTTAACAAGTCATGTAATACTTTTCAGTGTATATGCACGTGTACGTGCATGGTTTTGGTAAACAATTGGTTCAATAATCTTACTTTCAATTATTATACTACCACTCAAAAACTCAGAAACAGATAGCATCGTAAACTGCTCCGTGTTCAAAGTGGTGTTTACATATTGACAAAAAGTCAATAACTGAGCGTAATCATTATTGTGTGTAATATTAACTGGATTCAATCAGATATCTTTAGTTAGGAAAGATTAAAGTACACATATACGATTTTAAATCACAACGAACTCATCAGCATTTACAGTAAGCTGAATCCATGTACACCAGTAGACAATAAGTCTCCATAGAAAATTAATGTCGTCGAAACATAAAGACAAAATAAATTTTTAAAACGGTAAAAAACATTTTAAAACTAGATAGATTAAAAATTATTAAGAGTTTCAGGTACACGAAGATTGCTGAATTAATAGTGCGCTGACTGTAAAACAATATCATGAGTTGATTTATGTTTGAAATATGAATCACTGGATTTTCGACTCGATGTTCTAAAAGTATGCTGCCAACCGCGAGAATTGGAGGTTTTACGCTCCACCTTATGTTTGGTTATACATATGTGATGACGAAGAATCACAACATAGACAGTTGTATAACGATACACCTTAATTTCCATTCAATTATGAAAATAAACTTTGGGACAAAAAACTATCCAGTCAAAACAATTCATTGTCTATAATATGAGAGTGGCAACAACTGAATAATGATATTTTACGTCTATTGTGATAATAAGTCGTATTTAAATCTATAAAACAGTGTAACTGTCTATAAGATACCTACTGTACTTCAATAGAATATTAGAAAAGGATAAAGTACATTTCATCTTTTTTGTACTTAGGATAGCATACAGGGTAAAATGGTTAACTAAATCCCATGTAAAGAAAAATTACAACAACTAACCTGTTCTGCACCCATTTCTAATGCAACCAACCCAACAGTGCATGACAGATATTCTAAATTGTCTACTTTGTTACTAGGATCTAATAACTGATGATAGATATTTTCAATGAATAACACACCAGTCTGTGATAAGAAGGCACAAGAAAGAAAGAAATTTAGATGTTACTGTCATCAACATCAATTAAATACATTGATCGTTTAGAGGTAGATGATGCGTCGGAGGATTATATATACCAGAACCACAATGATATATATATATATATATATATATATATATATATATATATATATATATCGAACAATAAATAACACTAAACATAAAGTATGCCATCGTGATAAAGAGGGTTCAACTTTATGTATACACTCCGCCCTATTTGATTGTTTGGATATTTGTCTCATGACAAAAATAATTAATTTGGACAGGTCAAACATTTTAGGGTTTCTTCGTCAAACAACAAATGTCGTTTATGAGCTTTAGTTGAAATTTTAGGAAAACCCTTCGTCATTCAGCAGACACTGATTACTAATACTGATTGACAAGATAGGTTTGTGAGCTGTTATTACCCTGAGATTGGTAGATTGTAGATACTCATTAGTTGTGATTTCCTACTAGCATAAAATCTACTTCTATAGTTTCACCATGTCGATCGCCTCATACCTAATAAGTCGAACATAATATGCACCGCGATGCCCAGTCACTCGGACCAGTACGATCACATTTCAATTTGATGGATAGAATTAGATGGAGATTACGAAACAAACAACTAAACATCTAAACAACTGTTAAATATAACAGAAAGCAATCGCATATTTGCTTTAATGGCAAATTCATCCATAGTGATGAAAAAATACTTTAAAAGTAAAACTGGCTGCAGAGATGAAGCATTGGAATATACGTAATCATAATATATAAAATGTAATTCATAAACCAAGTACAGAATTATATACTCGGCTATGAGTCACACTTCAGGTGCGAAGTCTATATAATCCGACTACATAAAACCGATTAGGTGGTATGAAGTTTCAACGTGTTGTCTAATGGTTGAATGCAGAGAATTCTTTAATCACCAAGGCATGGCTCAATAAGTTCTAATTAAATGATTGAAGTATAAGCTAACTTACCTACTTTGAACATTATTTTAGTAGTACAAACGGTTGCAAAAACTTCAAATTAAAGGAATACAGTGATGGATACTTCTTTAACGTGGTAAGATTACATTCATTTTACTACATTGTCGTTTATTTCGATCCTTTCTCATATTCCAATCATATCATTTTCATTTCTTTCCGATTTATAATTTTAATTCTAATTGGCTGAGTTCAACTGATGTTATTCCTTACTACCATTATTCTGTGTTTTGTTGCTTCAATACGTAGTCGGGTAAAACTTAGTAGCCCTATGAATTTATCTACCATTTTAATGTTCTGGAATTTTCCAGCTTATATTTTTTTTATCTGAATCACTTTTTCCTGACCATATTAACTTTCTGGTTGCTTCGCTCTGTCGTGATGATACATATTAAGTTCTAATCAAATTTGCCTGCATAACTATGTAAACCTATGATAATTTTGATTTAGAAATACTATAGGTTGTAAGTGGCTGATGAGTTCCTAACGAAATCAAATGAATTCATGTTATACTGATCGAATCTTTGTTTTTCCTTTCATTAAAAGGATAGATACTTATATATGAGTTATAGGTATATTTTCAGCTCGGTTAGCAAAAAAAGCTTTCTACATATTGTTAGATTTCTCAATCAAGTAGTTGCACTGAGTACTCATATAAAAAACGTATTCATCAGTAGTAAACTCGAATGACGGCATAACATAACTGTTAACACCATAGAAAAACAACATATTAAGTGAATGTGCTGTGTTCAACGGTCCGATTCACATATTATCACATACCTAATCCCAGTTAACCACCTATTAAGAAACAGGAGATAAAGTGAATCTTAACTGCCTAAAGCCCAATAGCAATCTTTACATATCAAGGATATTCACGGTTTGTCAAAGTAATAGGAAGATTTTGGTAGCCATCTTGGCTATTAATCAGCCCTCATTGTCAACTCATTTTTCATATGACCTTGATATAAAATATTATTTGTCTAACTTTATCCAATTTAGCAAACTGATTAAATTTGGATAGGTGTTGAAATTTTTTGATCTATGACAACTCTTCTGAATGTTTCACATGCATATTTCTATGTAATTAAGGACGTTGGGTGAATGGATAATTGAGGAAATCAATAAAAGCCATGATAATTACTTTTACAGTATACTTTTTGAACCTAGACAATGATTCTCTCTAATGGACATTTCAGTATACGATATTCCTCAATGAGTTTTGTCACATATTTCATTTCCATAATTTTTATGAAACGGAAAAAGAATTGTATTTTCTAGATGATCAGATCAACTTGTAAATTAAGAGGATGATTTCAACAAAAATATACCATCTGTTGTGAAGCTTTCAAAGTTTTTCCACAGAATGTTAATCAGAACAATGTAAATCTCGTGATATATATATATAGTAAGAAAACAACGTTTAAACAAACATTTATAAAACAACCTAATCTTTAAATAAAGAAAAACGTTTACCTTTTTCATGAATAAAATATCTTGTCTTTCTGGCTTCTCCAAAATAAAATAATTGCTTAATCCATTCTCACCGTAAATACTAAAGCAATAATAAAACACGTAGGAAACAGAAGTAAGAAGAGACAAAAGGGTGTTGCAGATAAAATCAATAAGTAATTTTAGTGTGTCTTTCAAAATACAAATTTTCAAAATTTTATTTCGCTGGAAAATAATAAATACATATGTAATTGGTGGAAATAGATGTAATTTAAAATCACGAAGAGGATCCAAGTGACCCGGTAGTCTTGAATTTGCTTGTAATTCGATTACTTACTTACGCCTGTTACTCCTCGTGAAGAAGCATAGGCCGCTCACCAGCATTCTCCATCCAACGCTGTCCTGGGCAATCCTTTCCAGTTGTTATCCATCCTTTTCATACCTGCTTCTATTCTCCGACGTCATGTATTCTTTGGCCTTCCTCTTTTCCGCTTCCCTTCAGGATTCCAAGTTAGGGCTTGCCTCGTGATGCACTTTGACGATTTGCGCAAGGTATGTCCTATCCATTTCCATCGTCTTTTCATAATTTCTTCTTCAGCTGGAAGCTGGTTTGTTCTCACCCACAGAAGGCTGATGCTGATGGTATCCTGCCAATCGATGTTGAGTATCTTGCGTAGACAACCATTTATAAATACTTTCACCTTTTTGATGGTGGTTGTTGTAGTTCCCCAAGTTTCAGCTCCGTACAGTAGAACTGCCTTGACATTCCTATTGAAGATTCTCACTTTGATATTGGTTGAAAGTTGTTTTGAGTTCCATATGTTTTTCAACTGTAGGAATGCTGTATTTGCCTTGCCAATCCTCGCCTTTACGTCTGCATTTGAACATCCTTGTTCATCGATGATGCTTCCCAGGTATGTGAAGGATTCTACATCTTCCAGAGTTTCGCCATCAAGAGTGATTGGATTGCTGTTCTCCGCTTTGAATTTGAGGACCTTGGTTTTCCCTTTGTGTATGTTGAGGCCTATTGATGCAGGGACCGCAGCTACATTGGCTGTCTATATCTGCATTTGTTCGTATGTATGCGATAGGAGGGTTAGTTTCCTCGTTGTATCGTAAAGCTGTTTCATATTTCCTTCTCTTGCAGCTTTTTCCGCCGTCGTTGCTAGTCCTTCCACGTATTTCTTCTTGTCGGCTCTAATGCTTTTCTTCACTTGCTTGTTTGCTTCTATGTATTCAGCTTGTGCTTGGACTTTCTCTGTTCGTGTTCGGCTGTTGTTAATTGTTGTCTTCTTGTTCTTCCTTTCTTTGGTCTTGTCCAGTGTTTCTATAGAGAACCATTCCTTATGATGGTGCTTCTTTAGGCCCAGAACCTCCTGACACGTTGAAGTTAATGCTTCTTTGATACCTTTCCAGTTTTCCTCTATAGTAGTTTCTTCTTCCTTCAGTATATCCTGTAAGGCTTGGAACCTGTTGTTGAGAGCTATCTTGAATTCATTAAGTTTGTCAGTATCTCGAAGGAAAGCTGTATGGAACCTTTGTAGTGCTGTTTGTCCAGTTCTTCTTTAGCTTCAGTTTTAAATTGGCCACAATTAGGTGATGATCTGAAGCTGTCAGCTCCTCTCCTGGTTCTCACATCTTCCATTGTCCTTCGAAACTTTTTATTGATGCGAATATGATCTATCTGGTTCTCCGTGGTGTGGTCCGGTGTGATCCATGTAGCTTTGTGTATACGTTTGTGTGGAAATATTGTGCCCCCTATGACCAGTTTGTTGAACGCACACAGATTTGCAAATCTTTCTCCATTTTCGTTTCTCTGTCCCAGTCCATGTCGTCCCATGATATCTTCATATCCGGTGTTGTCTATTCCGACTTTGGCATTTAGATCTCCCATCAGAATGGTGAGGTCCTTTCTTGGGCACGTCTCTATGATTGATTGCACCCTGCTTCTTTGCCCGGGCTTGGGACCGGCAGTAACTCTAGAAGAGCTACAGGTGGTTAACTGATACTGTTCTGAGAATGAATGATATCGAAAATTTTAATCGCTGGACCAATTCCAGTTTTGTAAATTTTCTGTGACAAAATTAATTATCCTGTGTAAAAAATATTATTCTGAACAGGGAGTGTTATTATCCCGTTTGTTCAACGTTAAACAGAAAAGTTTCTCTACGTTGCCTAAAAAATTTGATGCAGTTACATTGATTGTGATATGGATTGTATTGGTTACGTTGTGAAATGATGTGGTGTGAAATTAAGTTATTATGGATAAGGCTCTTTATCCTCGAACAGGAAATCGATTTTGGACAACGGTGATTTACATCAGTTGTCACAGACAAATACACAATGAAAATCTATACAATATATATGGTGTTGCTACTTATATTGACAGACATAAGCAGTATGTAGCACCATTCGGAAGTGGAATGCCATGTCAGCAGAAAATTGAATTGAAGAGAACAGGAAAGGAAACAGAAAGCAACTGTAATAACAACAAAATTGAAAAATCATGAGGCATGTAAAGGACAATTGAAGGAAGATGAACAAATAAATTGTTTAATGTATGGTTTTCATGATTTACGAAGGCACTCTGTAATTTTGCATTAAACAATAAATTGGTTTTTTCCAACGGTCTTCGTTCATTACATATATACTTGCTAATGGTAATTAGTGTAGCTTGTTAAATGAGAATAGCACTTCGCATCTACTTATCAATCAAGCTTTACCAATGAGAGCTAGTGATGTTACCAAGAGCCAATCAAAAAATAAAGTGGGTGAGAAATATTTTGTACAGGCGATCTAGTTCCTAAAAGTTGGATACCTTATAGCAAGCAAAGACGATCGTAATTGTTGGAACGACTATTCACTAACGTTGATAGATTAACAGTACTTGCTAATAAAGAACTTAAGAAAGAAGGAAATGGTGTGAACTACAAACGAGAACAACGTGAGATAATATAGATGTTTTTTTATGTAGTTGAAAGATATACGAATTAGTAAATCATGATAACGAATAAAAAATAGACAAACACCATCAACATATAGCGTGGCTCAGAGGTTCTTTGGAACATATTACAAACCCCATTAAAACAGCGATATAAAAATAATGAAAGGAAACGAAATAATGTGACAAAAAGGAAGACTAAATATTGAGAATATGGTTTGAAAAAAAACAAGGTGGAGAGGCAGGGATAAAGGAATACAGGGATTTAAGACCGAGAGAAGATAAGGAGTGGATCCAACTGGGTTATCGTGAGCGATTCTGAGACATGTCCAACAAAATCACGAAGTATTTATTGCGGCCATCTCGCGGACCCTAGCCAAGTAGTACCTATTTACCAGCATGGATTAGACCAACAATTAACGACTTCGCAGACGGAGGCCACGTTTCGATTCAGCTTTGCTAGCTTTATTTATTTATTTAAACACATGAACATTGGTACAAGGAGGTACCAAACAGATATACGCCACGTAAATCATTCGATTAATGTGAGGGCTAATTGCCCAAACCGAAGCAGGTGGTTTCCTTAATGGTTCACACCCCTAGCCTTCGACTTAAAGGTCTAATCAACAAGGCGGTGGAGCAACGTAAGGGATACAGTCCCATGGTAGCCAGGGACCAACGATTGGTTCATACACCATTTGTTCCCTCAGGATCCTGGAGCCCATGTGCACCAATGGTTTAGAGTCGGGCTCTTTGTGTCCACCTCTCTAGCTTCCTTCCAACGTACTTCCGATGGATGAGAAAATCTCTACAGAAACAGACAGTGGCATGTTTAATTTTTTGATAATGTATACCATCTACAGCACAAACCAGTTATCTAAATATCGACTGTGGTGAAATGTACAGAAGCGCACTTTGTCCAACTATAAAATTACTTTGATTGTTTATCAGAAAAGGATATCTAATGAATGTACTGAACGCATTACATGTACTTCTGAGGTTAGACATTCAGCATTGAAATAATTGAAACAAATATTAAATCTGCATAATCTTAAGCCATTTCGACGTGACATGCTAGTTGAAGCCGAATCGAATAAATGCAACGTTGATGTGAATAAGACTTGATGTTAATTCATGAAGTGACTATCTGCTGAACTGAGCCTAGTACAAAATTTCATAATCTGGATTGTTAATAACAGTTTGAAATATTTCCACATTAATTTTGATGCAACTCATTTTATTTCCATAGTTTCGAAACTGTTAATATGTCATGTTTACCTCTGTTAGTGTGTATATATCTAGTATGGAGTATCACAACCACTAAGCACATAAACTATGATAACAACAAAATTAACAATAGTAGCACTTTTGATAACATTCGACTCACCGAACAGTCAACAACTGTTCTGTATTCCCATGTCGATCAATTAAAGTATGTAGTATTTTTTGTACAATTATTCGTATGACGGGATCTGGATCAATAGCGACACCACGTAATAAAAGATTTAGAAAGTCCGAATTCAATGCGTTCGATATAGCAACTGTTTTATATTGTGTGGCGACAGTTAGCATAGTTTGTAATAGGACCATAATTAACGGTTTCGGACGATCACCATACTCTGGATGATAACTGTTTAAAGAAAAGGAATAATCAAAGTACAATTGTTAAAGAGAAACTGAAATCCGAGACAACAATCAGTTATAAACAATGCAGGCCCTGTCAAAAATGTGCGTTAGCTTAAGTTGCCCTACTACAATAACGGGATAAAACGTAATATGACATCAAAGTAGAAAAAAGAATAATCCGATTTCGGCAATAGCATCAATATTAATAACTTTTAAGCGACACAGCTCATACCTTACATGGTGTATAAATCAAATAACTAAAAAAAATAACTGGTAATCATTTCATTGTTTCTAAGAGCAATATTATTTAATATCTCATGCATGAGGCATATTTCCCAAATACATAAAATTGCTTGATTTAATATATACATTCGAATCCAAATATCTTCATAAACAAGAAAAGCCATTACAAAAGCGAACTGAAATACTCGCTATGTGTACAACGAAAAGCGTACCAACTATTCTGAATAACATTTCACATTAGTTTCTGATCACTAACTGAAAAATTTAGATTCAAATGTAGAATTATTTTAGAAAAGTAGTGATCAACTCCTTAGAGTTATTTAGAGACTTCACTTCATCTGTGTTACATATATTTGAGTGCCGAATACTAGAGACATTGAAATCCTAGCCACCTCTTAGATTCCAACAACTTGGCGAAATTTGTACATTGGGTAAAAAGAATGTGATAATACAAAAAGCTTAAGTAAGTTTAAGTGTAGATAAAAAAAATATTGGTACGTAAAGGTCTACTCAATAGTACCTAATTGAATCGTAAGGTCATTCTCCCATCTAAAGTAAATTCTTTAAACAACCTGAGAATCGATTCATTTCCCTTTTTCCTGAGACCACTGTAGAAGGGAAAAGTAATTTTTCTTTAACTTTAGAATGAAATTTTTTTGAGTTATGTTATACAGCTTGTGCTGTTGCTGTAATAGTTACGTCATTCCCTGAATTTAAGTATATTGGTTTATTTCTCTCTTTATATTTTCTCCTATCCCATTAAGCCTAAACCTTATAAAATTCGTTTCTATAGTGTTCACACAATGTATAAATCACATAATTTTCCAGATACCGAATCTAAAGTCAGAATAATAGAAAGCAAGATTCATAGTTATAAGTTTCGCACAATTTTTATTCATGATTATACAAGTAAAATATAATTACACATGGACCTGCGAGACAATTTACAGATTTCAGTTAGTTTACATATGAGATAATTTTAATATAACAACAAAATAGTCCATTCATGCTTAAGTGGTTGTTTATTTTAGATTGCCAGTTATAATGACTCAAAAAAGATTCTATTACCTAGAAAATTCCCATTACTTACTAACCTACACCTGTAGCCCCTCGTGGAGGAGCATATGTTACCCACCAGAATTCTCTATCGAACCCTGCATTAAACGATCCATTCTAGTTGTTCCCAGTTGCTATTCATCCCTTTGATGTCGGCTTCCAATTCTCGAGACCCAGTGTGTTCTTTATTCTTCTACTCTTCCGTTTCCATTCAGAATTCCAAGTTGGCGCTTGCTTCGTGGTGCAGTTTGATTACTTCCCCAATGTTTGTCCTTTCTAATTCCAGAGTCTTTTCCTAATTTCTTCTTCGGCTGAAAGCTGGCTTGTCCTCTCCCACAGTACGCTGTTGTTGATGGTATCCAACGAACGAACATCGAGTATCTTGCGCAGGCAATTGTTCATAAATACTTGTATCTTTTAGATGATGGTTGTGGTAATTCTTGAAGTTTTATCTCCGCACAGTAGAACTGTCTCGATGTTCGTATTAAAGATCTTAGCTTTGATGTTAACGGACAGCTGTTTTAAGTTTCATATGTTTTTCAACTGCAGAAATGTCACCCTTCACATCTGCATCACATGCACATAGTGACGAATTCGACTTAATGGATTGCTCAACAATGATCCTAATGGTCGCGATTTGGTACACGATCGATCCTGATGGCATCTAGCTTGTTGATATCAAAGTTAGGCATCCACTGTATCTTTCATTCGGTTCAACAACCCTCTGTTGAAAGCTTTTCCTCGTACCGATAATAGTGTGATGCCTCTGTAGTTCTCACATTCGCTCAGATCTCCTTTCTTCGGTAGTTTGAAAAGATATCCTTCTTTCTAATGTGTCGGCACCTATTTCCCATTCACAATCTTCCTGAATAGAATATGGAGCATATTTGAAGTTAATTCTATGCGTGACTTCAGTGCATCAGCTGGTATGTCGTCTGGTATGGTTGGCTTTCCCACTCTCCATTGGTCCAATGGCAATACTGATTTTCATGATCGTTTGTGGAGTGAGATTCATATGAATGTCCATAAGTGCTACCTCGATATCTTGTGTATTCGGCGAAGCTGGTCTTTTCGATAACTGTTCAAAGTGTTCTACCCATCAGTTCCTCTGTTCATGAATCTCATTGACAGGCTTGACTCCTTTGTCCTCGAAAGGTCTCTCTGGTTTACCATATTTCCATACCAGTTTCTTCGTTGTGTCATATAGTTGTTTATATTTCCACCACTTGAAACGTTTCCCGTTGTCATTGCTAGGTCTTCCACGTATTTCTCCATATCAGCTTGCACGCTAGGTTCTCTCTCTTTTCTCTTGTTCGATTGTTGTTGATTGCTGTATTCTTGTTCTTCCTTTCTTGAATTTTGTCCAGGTTCTTGATAGAAATCCATTCCTTATGATGATGCTTCTTGAGTCCCAGAACCTCCTGACACATTGGAGTTAGTGCTCCTTTGATCCCTTTCCAGTTGTCCTCCATTGTAGTTTCCTCTTCTTCCAGTAGATCTTGTAAGGCTTGGAACCTGTTATTGAGAGCTATCTTGAATTCGTTGAGTCTGTCAGTATCTCGAAGGAGGGCTGCATCAAACCTTTGTAATCCTATTTTTCTAGTTGTCCAGTGCTTCTTTAGCTTTAGTTTCATCTTCGGAACTACCAGGTGATGATCTGAAGCTATATCAGCTCCTTTTCTGGTTCTCGCGTCTTCCATTGACCTTGTGAATATTTTAATGATGCAAATATGACCGATCCAGTTCTTTGTAGTGTGATCCAGTGAAACTCATGTAGCTTTGTGCATGCGTTTGTGGGGGAATATTGTGCAGCCTATAACCATTTTGTTGGAGGTACATAAGTTTACAAACCTGTCACCATTCTCGCTCCCTTCTCTCAGTCCATGTCGTAACCAGAGTACAGCAGCATCTCTCCCGAATCTATCCTTTTCTGTCCAGCTTGGGTCTAATGTATTTCATTGATTCTGAGCACCACCAAAATGTATCTCTTCATTTCCGTGGCTATTTGATCAGTCCTCTCAGTCTCCTACATTGTCCGAACATTCCATATACCTATATTAATTGTTGCCGTGGTGGTCAGAAGGGGAATCGGTCTCGTGATTTTCGAAAAATCTCGGCTTTCTTCTGAATGAAGGTCCTTCAACTCTTAGGACAGAGTTTAAACAGTTTACATTGTTTTTTCTAACTAGAGTTCTCTAAATAATGTCGTTTTCTACGGGATGTGGTTGCTGACCATATGCACAACCCTTCTCTTTTATCCAGGCTTGAAACCGGCGGTAACCGTGAAGTTCTATAAAAGGTGTAAAACCAAATAACAACACTATTAACCATTAAACCCCCGAGTCGAATCCGATTCCAAACTTTTGTTGGGTTTCTTCACAAGGTGACTGAAAGTTAAATACTTAAACGTAAATTTAATAAATGAGTTGGGTTTTAAACGTCTAATGTATTTTCCCCATTACACTAATATCCACTGAAAGCCTGAAAATATAAAAGCACTAGATATAAATTCATTAGATCAATTGCATTGTGTTAACATGAAGATTTATGAACTATCCTGTACAAGTCCCTGTGTTGTTTACATAGATTAAAAGATCTAAATTACAGCAGCAGAACTATACATTACTCTTCAGTTTTTAATAGTTATCTAACTGAATTCATAGTTGATGATAAAATATAATTTTGACCTATACAAAATCACTAGAAATAAGCACGTAGCATTACATTAAAATCCAAAGCCTGGCTGCGAAAATGTCACTTGTACGCAAACAAATATCAAAAAAATCAGTTCATTTGAAATTATGTAACTAAAACAAAAAGAAAACAATAATCACCACAAAGAATGACCTATTATGACTTGGCATCATTCTCTTTGTTTAAAAGTTCCATTCAAGCATATATATATAGCTTTGTGATCGATATAGTTTACAATAAGATAATGATTACTTATCACACACAAAAAAGAAACGAAAAATGGATTGAATCATATAACACACCAAATGATTTGGTATTTTTTGTTAGTTCACTTTTCAGTATATAAAGTACAACGCAATATTTAACATGATTATTATTTAGAATTTTTCGAACTGAAACAATGCCTAAGGATTTTCAAAGACTTGAATAGTATTTTAAGGCTATGGTATGTATAATATACATTCTAAACGAATCATATTATATATATACAACCACCGCATACTTCAAACTGAAACCCTGACTCTTGCAATAAAATGTTGGAAGACAGATAGGGATCACCAGAATAATATCTGGCACCAGTAGATGAACTTATCAACTATTGCATTGAGCCGTGTTGATAGATAAACATTCTCTATTAGAGGTCTTGATGATTTTTTTAAACAGTGGTGTGAGAGGGTGGATGGCATGTCCCACTCTTTGTTTTCCCTTAGATTTTGAGTTTCAAAATTATCTTATACTTTGTATTCGACGAGTCAGTTCTTTCTCTTCGAATCGTATTGTCGATCTCCAATCTTTTCACTATCTCTGATACTGTTACTACTTCTGCTAATGTGGTGTATTTCATGAATTTCATTTCGTTGTGTTAATATGATGTGACAAATTCAACCGATGCATATATATATATATATATATATATATATATATATATATATTCTGGATTTACTGCATTAGCTATTCAGTGTTTCATAACAGTAAAAAATTACAGTACAGTGTGACTATACAGTATGATACAGACACAGAAGCCCGGTTTATTAAAAAAAAATTTAAAAAACCAACAGAAATAGAAAAACGGCAGATTCAATATTGGGACTGTTTATATACTTACTTAACCATTGGCTCAAAATTCAATATAAATTTCAATATTTCTATTTTTTGCGTGTCTGGAAGATTTTTGGCAAATTCGGCTATGGTATTGATAATTGCCTCTTGAAACTGACGTTCACCAGATAATTTTCGATTGGAATCATTAAATGAAGGTTTTTCAGGATCAGATATTTGTGAAGTTTTATCAATACTTGCTTTTAAGATCTAGAAATTTCGGCGTAGATTGGAATAACAGCAATTGAACAAATAAGACAAGTCAGTAATACGTATATTTAGAGACAACCTTTAAAATTTTCACAATAGGTATTCAAAGACTTGTGAAATAGACAATATAAGAAACTGGTAAAGTTTTGAATCCTCAAATAAAGTAGTTATTGTTAATAAATCATATAGTAGTGATACTGCTTAATTCCGTAACAAATCTGTGTACATAGATATAAGCCAGGCATTTTTGCATCGGGACTGATTAGATTAACTTCCTGCCTGCATCAAAGAAGGTTGAAGAACGTTTGAAAATGTGACTACGAAGAAGAATGTTGAGAGCCCTACGTACTAAGACAATGATTGAAATAAACATTGCTGAATGTGGTGCTGATTTTTCCTGTAATATTTCCTTACCTTAGTAAATCTTGATGAAGTAATCGTTCAAAATTATGTATATCATCACATCAAATATCACTAATGAAACGGATCGAACATGCTTAACTTATATTCTACTATAATTATGGCATCACTAACCAGTTAAATTTTACATTTATTGACAGAAATCAAAAAGCAATGAGATAAAGGGTGTGGGTGTACAATAAATAGGATTTATTGTTTCAATAACATCGTGCACAAAACAAAGATACAAGTCCTTATTTCATATGTTTACAACATCAACGCTACAGTGCTGATAAACCTCTATCCACCACAAATTTTTGGTGTCCGTTGATCTTCACTGGTTCACCAATAGTTGACATCAGTACTCGTTTGAAACCAAACATGAAACTATTTTCTATCACAAAAATATTAAGTATAAAATGTTAACTACTAATAAGTAACTCGATTCAATAATCTAAATATGTACCACTGACACAATTTAAGAGTATATGAATAATGACATAAATAAAGTAATGCTACTTTTACTAACATTCTCAAGCAATATTTTGATTACATTGTATAAACAAAATGTGTATATATTCTAACCACTATCATATATACAGATCAAATGCCTCAATCTACCTAAACTAAGAGAGATAATGTAATTATACCTAGAATTTCAAAGACGAGGCCTGAATACTTAAGTAATTGAGCAATAAATTCACAATTTTCACAGAATGCAACTTTTAGGAGGATATAATTGTAACAGTCGTATTTCCAAATCTATCTATATTGATTGGTTTCCTCTTAAACAAACAATGATAATCGACGAGCCAAGAAAATATGAAAAGTTTATCATGCAGATTCCATACAAACTCTTGTTTTTATCACTGTACATTGGTGCCGTAGCTGTTTAGGATGCATATGTTGTCTATTAGCTTGTCCAAGTCTTTATTTGCGTTAAATCTAGCGAACTGTAGTGGTGAAAGTGTACTAGACAATGAAGAATGTAACAACAATTAATTCAATGTATATTATTATCCCGTAATAATTACGTTGGTGCTGTGGTCTTTGGACTGTGTAGTTTAGTTATGAAGGTTTTATTGTTCTTTAGGACAAAATCGCCATCTTATATCCTTTAAAGCATGTATTAATAACGTTATTTAAAAAAAGACAATCAAAGCTTCATAATTAAACTAATTAATTCACAGCCGACAACATTTCCAACATCCTCATACTGATCTGTAAATATTCTCAATCTGATAATACTTATACTGTCTACTGTAATTATATGACAAATAATAGGAAAAACGGCAATGATAGGAAAATAATCACAGCTATTTACTACATATGTACTACAGTCTGTAGATAAAATCCAATTGAGAGAAAAAAACAAATGAAAATTATTTATTCATTATTCCATTACTGTAATATATATATATATATATATATATATATATATATATATATTGAAGCCCAAAAACTATGGATGAAATAGTTATTCAGTGCTACTTCATTACCAAACAATTATCATGGGATGATGTTAGTTCATCATAATGAAAACGAATGAATTGACTAAAACATTTTACTCAGATAAAATGTGAATTGTATTATTCGACACAAATCTATTTAATCTTCGTTGTGTCCAAAAATTTAACAACATTCAGAGCAGATAATAGTATAGTTATCCTTTCTGTTTGTTTACTTTTTATCAATTCATTATTTTTTTTTCATTGAAGTGAATTAGATTTTATTGTTATTATTAACCGATTTAGGATGATCATCACCATTCTGTTGTTTTCGTTTTCACTTATTCTCACCAATCACTACCTTGTAGATGAATATTAATAAAATAGACCAACTACTTCCAGAGTTGATGTGTTAAGTGATGTAATCAATTAGTCACCAATGTTAAATACAGCTTGATACGTTTGATCACGTGCGGAAAGATGGCGCTTAGCGGTAAACACAGTTACCTTTTCGTTGTCTGACCACCACTTTAAAACCAAATACAACTAATTCAACAAGCACCAAATTGATTTTCAAGACAACGAATTTGGTTTTGGTATGTAAGTTCTATAGCTTTATACAGCTGAATTATGATTTAAAGTTGGGTACATTAGCATATACAAGGGTAAACAAGTAACATTACTATAAATATTACCCTGTGCTTTATTGATTCCAGACAGATTAGAACTAAAGTGCATGGAATTTAGTCCGAATCACAGATTTGACATAGAAATTCTGCATCTAGCTATCAAAAAAAAAGCCTTTTGAATGAATCCCTGACTAACAGAACCTCTTGTCGTATTCGTAGAAAACAAATAAATTATAAGTATGGGCGAATAATAGAAAAATATATGATAATTACTAATTTACCTAAACACAAAAATATTGCTATAAGAGGATACCAAATACATATGCGACACACAAGTCACATGAATGTGTGTGGGCTGTGATACTCCCCAAGTGCCCAGACCGAAGCAGGTGGTCTCCTTAAGGGGTCACACGTGACCATGTGAGAGCATTCGAGAGGGAGAGTGAAATCTTTCCACTCTCGACAGTACCAGGGCATTTGTGTGGTCCAATGATTATTTCAACGATACTATATGAACTTAAAATTCTAGAAAAACGTAACCACTTTTTATTCATAAGTCCGAACAAATTAGGAAACAAAACTCCCTGATATACTGTGAACTAATGCTCAAGGCACAACACAATCGACACTACAACACTAAAACAGTTATAAGTATTTTAATTTAGTGTGGTCTGATTGCCGTTCGAATTGTATGCTTTTACAGAATAGATTGACTATGAAAGAAAGTGGGAATCAGGATGGAGGTTTCGTACTGTTTGGTACTTGTCATCCGGATGCACTTGTATTTTAGTGTTTTTTTATGTGGACACTCAAACCTAGTGTTTTTCGCTGGAAACGGCCAAAACGTTATCCATCTACATAGTCACTAGCGTATTTAAAAGATACGGCTAAATCGCTTACATCAATGCTTTTTTTAATTTTGTGTATATCACCATTCTATATTCCTAGTGAATATGTCTTTTTTTCCTGAGAAATGTATTTCTCACTCTCAAGAAGAAGGTATCTAATCAGTTTATTATTAACTTCGAAACAGTCATAGACAATACCATTTATCTAAAATATTACAAACACAAATATACAGAGGAAAAAAGGAGTGACTTACTTGAAGTAATGATTTGAAATTATGAAATACATCTGGTCCGATCGCTCCCTTTGCTAAACTAATTACAACTAGTCCGATAACCTGTAGATTTTGAATTTCAAAAAAGAAACAGATGATAACTCATTTGTTACGGAAAGTTGAGTTTGACTGATCAAATTTCAACTGATAAACTATAGATAAATATATGGATAGATATCTACTGACATTCAATCAATCAAGTCTTAATTTATTGGTGGCAGAGTGACCCATAAAGTGAATATCCTCCAATCATTTACGATATTTAATCGAGTTTACTTTTTCGTTAATAATTTGTGTAAGAGCATGTCATTTTATTTTTTTTTAAACTATTATTCTAGGTAATATTCTTGTTTTTAGTATCAGTTCATTCAATTGTTGAGTCGACAAACTAGTTCCGTGAGTAGCCATAAACAGACCTTTTTGTATTACTGCTAAGTTTGGAGAGATTATGATATCACCAAAATAGGCTAATGGAACGAAAGTTAGTAACACAACAACAGGACAGGTTACACTATTCACTGCACTCCAGCCCTGCTGGCTAGAGGGAGAAGACCAGATTGAACCGAGGGAAATGTATATTCTTCAAGCGGTCGGAAGCACGAACGAACAAGCATACAAACCAAACGTACGCATACAGCACAAAAATGACCTTGCAAAACGTCATAAAATAGCGTAAAGAGAAGACAAACCAAGAACAGTTAATATCCTTTCAAGTGGGCGCTTTTGATGCGAAAATGAAAAATTCAAATTCTCGAAATAAAATTACAAAAATAAAACGTTTACCAAGTGATTTATGGGGATCTAGCATCCACAACAAATACTGCATTCATCTATCGGTCAACATTCGTTTCATTTATTTTAACAATCGTAAACCCGTTAATTAAATCTGTTGTGGAGATCCAGAAAATTACTCGAGAAAAGTCTAAAGGGGCCTTGAAAACACTGGGAAACATTTTGTCCAGTCAGCATTGAACAGAAGTGTCTCGAAGACATCTAAGAAGTGGGGAGTCACGTGTCACATTTCCGACTGGATGATTACATATCCTACTACTATGCTTAGTAGCGTTCCAGAGGCCCAAGGTCTTCTAAAAAGCTATGAGTACCCTAAATTTTCTGTACACTAACTAACTTTAAAGTGAAGCGTTCACCACATATCTCGAGCCTTTTCTATCAAATTCACGTTACCGTTTAGATCTAGCCTGTGGGTTACTAGAAGAGCTTAGGAAACCGTATCAAGCATTCAGTCGGAAGATTTATCACAATCCTAAAATCATCTTACATAACAATTTATAAGGCCTAATGAATCCAGTCGTTATGGTAACAATGCACCTAGTTTAAATAAGTATAATCCTAAACTAACAGAAATGAGAAATCAACTTAGATAGAAGTTCACGTTTCTGATTATGGAATGGAGGAATGCGAGTCAAAAGTAATAACAATAAAGTAGGCATATAATCGAAGTTTATAAGCTTCTAATCAAGAATACCAAAGATCTAGCAGCTATTTGGTAATATGCGAAGAAACAACAACTTATTTGAGGAACATGATATTTAAAAATAAAATTAGAAACACCGATTACTGTAGGAAATGGAATCGATGATAAATGTATTAATAGGGTCAGCAACCACATCCCGTAGAAAACGACATTATTTAAAGAACTCTAGTTAGAAAAAACAATGTAAACTGTTTAAACTCTGTCCTAAGAGTTGAAGGACCTTCATTCAGAAGAAAGCCGAGATTTTTCGAAAATCACGAGACCGATTCCCCTTCTGACCACCACGGCAACAATTAATATAGGTATATGGAATGTTCGGACAATGTAGGAGACTGAGAGGACTGATCAAATAGCCACGGAAATGAAGAGATACATTTTGGTGGTGCTCAGAATCAATGAAATACATTAGACCCAAGCTGGACAGAAAAGGATAGATTCGGGAGAGATGCTGCTGTACTCTGGTTACGACATGGACTGAGAGAAGGGAGCGAGAATGGTGACAGGTTTGTAAACTTATGTACCTCCAACAAAATGGTTATAGGCTGCACAATATTCCCCCACAAACGCATGCACAAAGCTACATGAGTTTCACTGGATCACACTACAAAGAACTGGATCGGTCATATTTGCATCATTAAAATATTCACAAGGTCAATGGAAGACGCGAGAACCAGAAAAGGAGCTGATATAGCTTCAGATCATCACCTGGTAGTTCCGAAGATGAAACTAAAGCTAAAGAAGCACTGGACAACTAGAAAAATAGGATTACAAAGGTTTGATGCAGCCCTCCTTCGAGATACTGACAGACTCAACGAATTCAAGATAGCTCTCAATAACAGGTTCCAAGCCTTACAAGATCTACTGGAAGAAGAGGAAACTACAATGGAGGACAACTGGAAAGGGATCAAAGGAGCACTAACTCCAATGTGTCAGGAGGTTCTGGGACTCAAGAAGCATCATCATAAGGAATGGATTTCTATCAAGAACCTGGACAAAATTCAAGAAAGGAAGAACAAGAATACAGCAATCAACAACAATCGAACAAGAGAAAAGAGAGAGAGTCAATGAAATAGTCAAAAGGATAAATTAAACTTGCGTATATTGTTTATATGTCTTAGTGTTTTACCTGAACTAAACTTGTACGTTCAGACAATGTGAAGTCGGATTCATGTAAGCTGAGATGAGCAACTAATTGTTTGACTAAACTATGCGCCACCTGAGTTGTCTAAATAAAAATAGAAAACAGAGGCAAGAAACAGACAAACAAATATAAACTAATGAATAATTTGTATTAATTTTGCTTGAAAATATTAAAGTAATTTGACAATGGCTTTCAGTATACGACTAATTGGTATCATTCGAAAAATAAGTGAAGAGAAAATAACTTCGAAAAATTAAACAGTTACTTTTTATGGTTCGTCCGAAAATCCTCATTTTATGAAAACAGAGAAATATAAATGTTCATTAGGTTCTGCATCTATAAATTTAAACTTATGTTCCAAAAGGATAGCCAATTTTAAGGCAACCACATATTTGTGAGAATTACAGCGAACGAATATAGGATTGTTGGTAAAATAAAATAAAATCCCTAGTGTTGAAATGTCCATCATTCAATACTAACTAAAACAAGTTTATGGGTCAATTGAATTTGTGAAATTAACAATTAGAATAAATATGGATAACATGAGGTTAGAGAAACAGTAATGTAATAACAAACCAAACTAAATGTTTGGTGAAAGATTTTATAATGTATAGTGATAAGAATTCAGTAAGGAATAGCAAGATAAAGTGAGTGCTAGTTAGCTTCACGTATTTACAAGACTTAAGTACAAAAATTATTCAAGTTAACATCGCATGATAGCCGTCCCAACAATAACAATTTCAGTTTATTTTAGTAAACATCTTAAGTCCCCATCTTGTTACTTTTACGATGGTAGAATGCGCCTTAAAGTTGGTGATCCCTTATGAGCTTGATGAAAACATGTAAATAAGACTAATCTTCAACATCAATATTTCACTGAGCTCACAGAAATATAATGAATAAGTTGGTATTACATGAAAATGACGATTATTAGTGATAAATCATGAACCAATCAATGTTAGACTACCATTTGAAACCTGGAAGCGTACAGGATCATGGATGAGCACTGATTAGGAGTCTCATACTTGAATTAAACGGCCGTCCAGCGCTACCAGGTTTTCCATAATGGTTTAACATTGACCAGTTCATGATCTCAGTTAAAACTCAGACGATCTTATACTGATAATAATAAATCAAGTGATGAAAAAAGTACACATATTTAATATGCCAAATGAAAACATATATAGTATTGTAGAAGCCTATAAGCGAAAATTTCACTCAATTATTTACTATCTTAAACTTTTAAAAAAGGAAGCCAATTATAACATGTAGGAAGAATATGTAAATGACTAACTACAATTACCATAACAACCTTCGCCACGATGAGATCCGAAGAAAAAAACATGAGTAGAATGGTAGTAATATGAAGACAATAAAAAACAATCGGATAATCAATCTTCAAACATATCACCTATGATCAGATCAATATCAAAGTAGAATGTCAAAATCATTTAGCATATGATTGAGTCTTGAACTGGGAATAGCTTGATGGATTGTTGAAATTATTTAAATTTCAGTATATTTTCATCATTTACACTTAAACAGTAAACATGGCTAATCGTGTATTAAACCAGTGAACAACTTAAACTGTTTCAGTAGCATAAGAGATACAAAATAATGCAGACGTGAAAAGAACCAAGTGGATTTTGATTGGCTGGAAAGATGATATTTCCATCTTATTAGTTAACCTTACTCCGAATAATCCCGATCGAATGAAAACAGACATACATAATTGTAGTGTATTAGCTAATTAGTTTACTGTGAATGGGATAAAATCTAATGTATTGGTTTGATGTCAGTGAAACCTATGTTATTATTACTATGTTCTCATTTTATGCAATCGATCATCACATGGACAATAAGTAAACGGGGACTAAAATCAAATTGTTTCATAAAGGAGAGTAGGCAATTCAGTTTATCATTTCATAGTTTAATTTTCAATTTTATCTTATGTATTTTGGAGAAAAACGATAAGTGGAAAAGATATTACCTTCTGAAACTTAATAAATGTTCACTAAACTCATTGTTCATATAGTCAACTTTTAGAAATAAAATAGATGCCAATCCACTCTTCTTTCTTCATATGAATTTAGTAAATAACTTATAATATGTAGTCAAGAGTTTCAGTAAAAATCACATTTACATCGATTAAATATACACTGAGAAATTTTTTTACATAACAGAAAAGGAAGAAATATAGATTTGCTCTCTCACTCCCCGTAAATTTACACATATTTCGTTTATTGCAATTCGTTGTTTTTTCTACCACTAAACTGCATGAGTTCACTTTATCTACTTCAGTCTGGATAACTGAATATTATATCATTAGCTCTCATACAGTGCGTCTCATAATCGAGTATACTGACTTGTGTTTGATAAATAAATTACACTAATATTTATGGAAATATGAGAAAATAATCAACTGATTTGATACTCGTGAGTAAATAGATCACAGTAGGAAAATTGTTGAAAACTAAGGAGAACATGACAACCTTTTCCCCCTAGTTTGTCACTCCTTAGCTATCCACACCTACAACCCAACATAAGATGGAAGCCATGATCTTCGTTTACCACGGCGAATAATGACATTTGTAGTGTATTAAAGAATACAAAACCAGGACGAAACAGATTTTCCTGTCCGTATGACGTCAGTGAGTCGTAAGTAAATGTATGCCAGCTAACATAGTTACGTAATAAATATTTTCCTTCCAGTAAAAATTAATTGTATCGGTAATCTAAGCAGTGAATTCATATTTAAATTTACTTTAGTCATCACTATACACATACAAGCATGCTTGAAACAATTCTTGTTTATTTAAAACTGAATAGTAATAACAGTAGTGTGATTATACTGATAATTTAAACTTTAATATTTTGCAGCGATAGAATTATAGAAAAAATGAACAGGTTTCACAACTTATCAGTCAGTAATGATTATTGGAAGCTTGAGGCTCGTGTTAAGTGAACCTTTTTTTAATTTTTTGGAATTATCGGCAATGCTTTGACGGATAGATAGTGTAAGCCAATTTTATAATTCATATGAATACCTTTGAATAGTTCAACTTTAAAAGTCAATCAATACGCAAGGTATACAATACTGTCACTTACTTTAATTACTATAAGCTTAACTTTTTTAAGTGATGATGAACTAATGTATCAAGTAAAACAAACACATAATGAATCCAGAGACCTTCGAACCCTCCCCCCTTAATTCGATCCACGAGACCAGGTAGTGATAATCTCTTATGATGTAGCTCGAAGACGAAAACATTAATCTACATATGGTAAATTAGTTACATTGGCTAATCAATATGAAAGGGTAGGATAATGACTAAGTGTATCTGGGCCACTATTACTGATTTTTTAAAGGGAACGTAACTCAATATCAACCTTATTCTCAGTGGTTCGTCAACTAATGTTAATACAAGAAAAAATTGTTAAAAACCACCATAAAACCGCTTGAATATGTGAATGACCTCAATTATTTTTATAATTAATTGAACAGAAGAACACATGCCGATACAAATGCATATATATATAGACATCTGAGAATTCGTGAGATGATAACAAACAAGAAGACAAATGATAGAAGAGAAATGAAAAATAAGGTATCATCCGATTATAAAATGAACATATTCTATAAATTTCTTGATATTGATTGGAATAGAGTCAAAAGAAATGAACGAAAGGTATCGATTCTGAAAACTATTCTGATAGAAACAAATATGACTGATAAAGCAAAAATGTTCTATATGAAAGATAATCAATTATAAGCACATACAAGAGTGTTTATAACGGTAGCCTGATACCTAAAGAACTTGATTTTTAACTAATTATTCATAGGTTCAATCAAATCTCATTCCATCAATTTCAGTTGAGAAAATCGAGCGGTATCATTAGCCCCCACAGAAATATAATAAGTCAAAGCCGAGTACATAGTATAGACCTGTACTTGGTGATAAATATCAAATTATTTAAAACCATGAAAGAAAACATTTTTCGAACGCTAAGATGCGTCGTCTCCTTATATCAAATCACATGAAAAGTCAATTAAGAACACTATACGATCATGTTATGAAAATGAGTGATGAACGTATTAAATGTTCACTTCTTTCTAAGTTCTACGTAACACGTAAATCGATGCGATTTCATGTGAGTTTATTTTGTTTACATTAGGGTTAAACAAATAGCCTCATCAATTCATTAAACAATAGGCGAGCCAATGAAGTAAGAATGCTAAAATGAGTGAAGATTTATACTGTTGAATTTCTCATATAGTTGTCACATAATTTCATCTCGCTATACTTCGACGAATTTACTCATAAAACTTTTGTACATTATGATAAATTTCCGATAAAAACAGTTATGGTTATGAGGAAAATTCAGTAAAAAACCTTTCGTGTGAATCTATTATCACTCAGATAAATGATATTCAGATGGAAAACCGATAATAAGCCAAGAAAAACTAATAAAAATTACAGAACAAAGAGTTTTACGTATGTCATTACTTCTGAGGTGAGATACTTTCGATTTATATGGACTCTGTGATCATTAACTGAAAATTGGCTTCTAAATCATAAAGTTATTATTGACTTGGCCTTATAGTTTAGTTACACCTGATTAGTTTATGAAGCGGTGTTTAAGATCAAACTCTTCGTCTAATTCGGTTTGGAAATCCACGCTAATAAAACCAGTTCCCGACCTTCGTCAATGAAAGTACGTTTTTGTCCACTCAACATCAAGTTACGCTTACTTAATGGATCCTAGTAATATTATTTTCTGATTCATTTGCACAATATATAAATACATATATAATCTAACAGGCGCAGTATACGTTAAGGAGGGGTTCGTTCCAGGAATCATACGTCTGAAAGCGCTTTCATCAAATAATTCGCTTCTTGACAGAATCCCACTCATAAAATGTTAAAGATTACAAATAGAAATTCAACCAGTGTCTCATAGTTGACTACGTAATTAACACCGATCTATTGTAATAATCGAATCTATGTAATAATAATGATAATAATAATAACGATAATAATAATAATAATAATAATAATAATAACGATAATAATAATAATAATAATGTATTATCCTGTTTAATCGTAACAGTAGCACTGATGAGATCATTTTAATCGTTAAATTTAAATAGAAACGGAAAAGAAACCTGATGATGATGACGATGATTATAATAATAATACATGGCTCGACAAAATAACCCAGCTGGTAAAATGAATAACCAGTCCTAGTGATGGTTATGACGATTCGACAAGATAAACTTAAGTACAACGAAATTCTGCCCAAACAGTCAAAAATTATCATGGGAATTTTTCGCAACTAGAACAGAAAGATACAGTTCTTCTTGAAAAAAAATGTGTGCATCAAAGGTTAACATTGTAAGGTGTTTAGACATGGAAAATAAAATGATGAAAGACTAAATAAGCAGATGAATTTGAGGCATGTCAAAGAGATGAATTCTTAGGGGCTTAAACATTTTTAAACACTCACAGATATTGATTTCTGATGTTTGAACAGATTAATCCACGAGAACTTACAGCTTTCTGCATAATTAAGACCAATAGGTAATGATTTTATAAATTGATGTTATATCTTGATTGATCTATAAGTTTAACCATCTCCATTTCAATTGACACGAAAATAACTGAATAAACAGTGGTTTACATTGTGTAACACCATCAGAGTCGATAAAATTTTAAAACTTAGGTCCAAGATTTCATGCCGATCGCTTCCAATCATCTGACATCAAAACAATGTGCATACAACGTTGAGTTACTCATAATTAGTAGACACAATATAGAGTTATATTGTACAATAACCCTTTGACAGTCATTCGAGTATATGAGGTACCACAGACAGTGTATGCTGAGAAAGATCACTCACATTTTGTATTAAATTATGATATTTTACTAATAACAATCTGAAAAAATGACAACGACAACAATAACCTCTACAAATCCAAAACTGGTTTTTATCACATGGCAATGTCAGTTGACCACTTACTGAAAAATTGAAGAACGACAAAACTTTTGACATTTCGAATAAATCATTTACCAAGTACATGTTTAAGTACTCGGCTTTAAAGCCAAACCTTTTGCGAGAAGGCTAATAACACCATCCAGACGGTCCAAACCCAAGTAGGTGTTGATGACATGTGGCTGGAGGTAATCGGCAGGAAACCTTAGACCTAGGGATTCTTAATGGTTGGTACTCGTTAGCAAGATATACCTGTAATTGTCAGAGAACTGATGCTTTCTAAAAGGATTCGAACCCATTTTCCTCAGTTTTACTGCTTGAAACGTTACCACTGAATTATTCGGGCTGCACCTAAACGCCAAAAAGGTGCTGCAGAGTTCGAATTTGCAACCTAATGGTTGAAAGTCGCTAGATATTAATACATAAACACACAAAACCTCTACAAATGACGTTATTAAGACGAAATAAAATGATAGATTACGTTTTGGTGTTCATTCAGTATAACATGAAGTATTCATTATGTATTAATTCATCTCCACCACTTTAGATAAGTATAGTATTTATTGACTGATTACCAAGCAGCACTAAAAAATATATATCTAAATGCGTATTTAATTAAAGCTATTGTCGTGTTTCTGAAGTGTAAATAAGATTCCCATTAATCATCCATTTTTGTCTTCTTGCTTGAATTGTGAAAAAAAATCACTTTCCCCTATTGCCAGTATCAGTTTTCTCAGTTATAACAGAAACGTGCAAATCAGCACTGGCTTTAACTTGACTTTCACTATTCAATTAAGTGTCACCAGCCTAATGACCCAGTCACAGATGGAATTACATTTCATTAATTTTAAAATGTTTCTTTGATGGAATGAGTTATTACCAAATATGTACATATTTTTTTACTACTGGAAAAAAAACATGTACATCTTCTTATTATTGCAAAGGGCGATGATGAATGAACACTGTGAACGAGCCGAGAAATAACACTAAAAATTAATTTTCCATATTTGTTAGTTTTGAATATTGTGGGCGTAAGTATTTTCAATATTTACTCAACTTGTATACATATATAGATGTATATATTTGCCGATCTGTTATGAAAGAAATAATAACAATCAATTCAGCGTCAACTTGAAATCAAATAAAAACCGAAATAACTTTTTTAACACTCAAAGAAACTGAAAATCATCAAAATATAGGAAATACTTTATCACCAGCCGACAACAATTTAAAAACAGTCGAAATGAATCAAGGGCAAAGCATCTGCTTTGGAATAGATGAAGACACCTTGACAGTCCTTATCCATGGTCTTACACTGGACCAGAACAAGGATACTTATATCTTGCAGCGAGCACGATACGATTGATCTGTGAAGCTGTGACTTTTGGAGCCAATTAAGTCAAGAGTGAATAATTTACACTGATGAATCTGAATAAGGATAGCACTTTATCACAAATCGGCTAGAGTTTGGGAATGTTAGTATTAAATTCTGATCAAGCTTGTTGAGACACCGAAATGGCTTCGACTCAGTCTTAGATTTGAGTGATTACTGGCTGCATGTCCAAACCAGAGTGAAAACATCATTTAACTGTGTTGCCTAGGTTTGAACAGCTCTGGAGATAGTGTCAATTTACGATAAAAATAAACTTTAAAATATAAAGTCATCAAAGAAAAACTACTTAAATTAATTTGTTTATTACCTTGAGTGAATCCAAAAGATATTGAAATATGAGTAAAGGAAAATCACAAGGATCCCACAATTTATGATTATCTAAATGCCTACAAAAAATATTTAAAAACAACAATCACCGGTACATAGATTCGTTTACTTTCAATAAAAAAGTGTTTTAGCATGAATTTCATTCGAAGATAGTAATTTATTAAATACTGACATAATTCTTGACCTGTCAGTAACTAAACTGTGTTAAATAAATGGATATTCACCAAGCCTAAAAACGAACTCCAATCAAATCGATAGCAAAAAACGTCAACTAATGAATAATGGACCAATTTTATATAATTATAGAATCAAACATACAAATACACGGCGAAGATCCACTTAGATGATGCATTGATTTAGTGATCATGTAATCAAATTTAGTCATGAAATTCATCAAATAGCCAATAAAGATTATACGAATAATCGGTGAGAAGTGTCCCTAGAAATAAACGTTAGCATTTCATAGTTTTCAATCTTAGAATTCAAATCAGGGTATTGGCAGGTTGAGGTACACCCAGAGGACAGAGCAAAGACGGCACTTTTTATTCCGACTGGGTTATACGAATTTCAAACAATACTCTTCGGACTAACTACTGCCCCTGCAACCTTCCAAACACTCATGCAATTAATCCTGAAAGATTTAGTTTCGAAGGTGTGCATGGTTTATCTATATGATATTGTTGTTTCCAGCAACAACGTCGAGGGACATATTCACCGTATTCAGCTAGTGTTACAGTGACTTAGTGATGTTAGTTTAAAGGCTCATCCTAGTAAATGCAACCTACTGCTTAAGGAATTAACCTTTTCGGATCCCCTGATCGAAGGTTGGAAACCACAAGGCGCCCACCAGCCCCTCCAAGGATTAGAAAATTAAGCGAAGGCGCTTGCAAAATGTTATTATTCCCAGCATATGACTATTGTTAATTTTATTCGATTCTTTTCTAAATGAATCCGAGACGAACAACTCGATATAATAGGGGCTTTTCTCAGGATTTCGGCCTGTTTTTAATGCCCATCCTATATAAAGCCAAGATATGGCTATTAGTGGGTCCAGAATTGCGTGGAAACGAAAACTTATGTTGTTTTTTATAAAATATAATTTTTTTAATAAGTGAATATGCCAAACACGTCAAGGTGATTTAGTTGACAGTCAGCGACTTAATAACTTAATAATGTCTTTGTTTTGGTGTCATTATTAGCATTTTCTCGACAGAAACGCATAACTTAATTCACTTTGAATAGGATTGTACAGCTTTAGCAAATGATATAGCCGAAAAGAAAATTTTCTTCGATGAACAAACCATCGTATTGATGGTCTGTATAAACATAACAGTCCGATAATTGCGAAAGATACATGATTTTTGAATTACTAAACCTCAAAATATTTGTATGACTAGTTGTGCTTTCCATCTAAGATTATTTACATGGCGAGCCGAAGCTTTTTGATACTTATATGTCCGGTTGGCTACAAATACCTATTTAATTTATGTATGCATGGTTTGTATCAATTTTAGCTGTCGAACATGACAGAAATATTAGTGATCATATTATATTACAGACTTGATCGCTACCTGGATTAAATATCACAATTTAATCAAAAAAGGTGACAAAAGGGAGCCCTACATCTCGTTTAAACGTTAATCAGATAAAATTATTCAGGATTATTAGTATAAACATATATATGGGTGAGGGTAAAAAGTCATCCAACAACATAACAAGATTCATTGGAACAAGTCTTCTAAGTAATTCAATCAATAAATATATAATACAATGAACTAGGACGTTATATATCCCCAGATCGTCCTTAATTGTCAGCCTGAGACATCTTGATAGATGTAGACAACTTGTTTGGGGCTCAAACGATTACTGAAGTCGGTTGCAATGCTCTAGATGCATTCACTCCTTATCCACCCTCAGAATTTAAGTTCCAAAATTACTTTATCCTTTCAATTTTGTAAATCGATTCTTTCTTCTCACTTGTTATTCTCTGTGCCTAGTCTTTGTCTACAACTTCTATTACTCTGGAATTTGTTTAGAAAATTTTTTATCTCACTTTGTTGATTTAGCGTGTCAAATTAAACAGATGTACATATGTAGCAAGTTGTATGCTGCTTATAACTGAATAACTGACCACACCCTTTAGATTAATTGACTTGTTTTCTATTTGCCTGAAACTTAATTTTACCTTTTTTCTGTAATACCTTTTTAACTGCGACCTGGATGAATAGTACTTCTATCGTTTTCGAACTCTTTGTCTATTGTGCCATTTAGTTGTCTAAGATTTTTAAAAAATTGTGTGCATATTACTACATAAAAGCTATATCTCCGACTTTCAAACACACGCGGCTTTACTAAGTAGGGAAAAACTAGCTGCAAAAGTTATTTAAATATACAAAGCCAAATAATCATCTTGTTATTTATTCATATAGAAGAAACACAAACTTACGTTAAAATAGATGTTACCACAGGTTTGATATTTGTATAAGAAGCTTGTCTAACAATATCTTCGAACACATATACAGCTTCTTGTGAAGGATCACATTGCGATTCATTTGAATTGGAATCTAGTTCAAACCTTGGGAACAAGAATTTTCCAGGAGAAAAAACAGATTAAATTAAAACCTCATTTATAATAGTGACTAACATCATTTAAAAGTATTGCAATATAACCTGTGATATAATCATGGATTATGAAATATATATATATATGTACCCCTAAATGCCCTGGTACAGCCGAAAGTGGGAAGAGTTCGCTCTCCCTCTCCGAATGCTCTCACATGGTCACGCGTATAAAGCCACTGACAGGAAAGTCCCACTCATTCCCTTCTCGTGGTGTGGGTGTTCTTTACGAAATTGAGAGGACGAAAAGTGAATGTCCCGCACTTTAACCGGGTTGGTGGATATGGAGAATCCAACTAGGGGAGTTACAAAACCCTGATTCAAACCAATGGTGCACATGGGCTCCAGGATCCTGAAGGAACAAATGGTTTATGAACCAATCGTTGGTCCCTGGCTAACATGGGATTGTATCTCCTTACGTTGCTCCACTGCCTTGTGGATTAGACCTTTAGGTCGAAGGCTCGGAGTGTGACCCATTAAGGAAACCACCTGCTTCGGTTTGGGCACCCAGGCAGAAAAATGAAAACGTAGGCTAATACTGCATTTAATATGAGCAGTCTGTCACTAACAACGTAGAACCTCGTACGTACGTACATCAGTTCGAGTTGCCACACCACATTAGCACAGAGATGCAGTGGTCGATTCAAATCCCGTAGTTCTAGATGTAGTAAAATTATAAGCAATGATCGGAAAGATTAGGGTTTGAAGATGTTATTCAAGGAGTATAATCCAGTGAAATAAATTTGGAAAAAGAAAGAAGAAAGGGACATGAAGAATTCAGAAGATTAGAATTTGGGAGAACACAAAGAGTGGATGCTCCTGCGCCATTGCAAATGATTTTGAGCCATGTTATTCAGGGTCTCTAACCATCGGTTGCTATCATCTCACGGTCCCCAACCAGGTAGTCTACACCTACCGACTTGACTCAGACCACTTGTCAGTGACTTCATGGAATTGTGCCATGTTTTGGTCTGGCCACCCCTAACTTTCTTCCAATCTACTCCGATACAACAAAGCATCGCACATCGAGGCAGTCGGTGGTTGGGCACGCGTAACACGTGTCTCAGCCATCTCAACTGATGAAGTTTCACCACTTCATCAATTGATTTGCCATCCTTACCTAGTACCCGTTTCCTAACAACTGCATTACTTACTCGTAGCAATGCTTCGAATGCACCTATGATCGAATACTAGTAACCTACGAATATCCTCTACTCTTATCGGCCATGTTTCACTGCCATAAAGTAGGACGGAATGAACTGCTGTGCAGTAAACCCGTCCTTTGGTCGATAGACGGATATCTCGCCTACGCCATAAATGACGCAAGTTGGTAAAAGCTAGTCGAGCCTTCTCTATCCGTGCTGAGATTTCGTCACACACCAGACCACAAGGGCTGATGAGACTTCCAAGATAAGTGAAGCGATCGACACGCTCAATTACTTCACTTCCTATCATTAGTTCGGGTGTCAATGCAACCCAATCCTGAAGCAACATTTTGCATTTCCAGAGGGAGAATCACATGCCGAACATGCTTGCATTGTTGCTTAGAGTGGTCAGAAGACTCAGCATTTTGTCAGCGTCTTCGCCAAATAAAACTATGTCATCGGCATATTCCAAGTCAACAAGTGAATCTCCCGGTAGAAGTTCAACCTCTGGAAATTTAGACGAGGCAAGTGTTATCTCTAGAAGCACGTCAATGACAAAAATGAACAAGAATGGAGAGTGGACAGCCCTGACGAACACCACTTGAGGTAATCAATTCTGATGACAGTTCGCCATAAGCCCTCACTCGATCAGTTGTGTTCGAGTAGAGAGCCTGTATAAGGTTAATGTACTTCTTTGGTACTCCTTTCAGTGACAAACACTGCCATAGAACCTCACGATTAACAGAGTCGAATGCCGCCTTAAGGTCGAGAAACAATACTATTGTGAGGCGTCTGAATGTGTGTCTATGTTCTAGAACCTGACGTAGTGTGAATATGTGGTCCATACAACCACGTCCAGGTCGAAAACCAGCCTGATTTCCTCTAACTTGTTCTTCACGAGCTTTGGTTAGGCGTCGAAGTATTATTGAAGCTAATATTTTAGACACTATATTTGTCAAACTGATTCCTCTGTGATTGTCACAAGAGGACTTTTGCCCTTTTTTATAGACTGGCACAATCAGTGATTGAGACCAGTCAGATGGGATTACGTCCAGTCCCCAAATTCTACCCAAGACCTCAGTCAATCTCACTGCTAATACTGGATCACCATCCTTAAAATCTCAGGGGTGAACCTGTCAGGGCCTGCTGCTCTCCCTCACTTCAGATTTCCTATGGCTTTTTCAACTTCGTAAAGAGACGGAGGACCTACATTAACTTGCCATTCAGGTCGACTGGAGATCTTGGGAAACCGAAGTGTGGTTGAAGGCCAGTTGAACTGAACCCTAACGTGTTCTGACCATTGATCCAATCTCCTGGATTGAGAACGCATATGTTCATCTTTCTCTGAGAGTGTTTCTCTAACAGTCGGTTTCTTAATACCGGTTTCCTTAACAAGTCTGAACAATTGTCTGCTGTTACCTGATGCCGCTGCCTTTTCCATCTCTCTTGCTTTCGCTACCCACCACTGTTCACGATCATTGCGTAGTCTTCCTGTCAGCTTGCGCATGGGCTGACTCAGCTCTTCGTTATGTTCAGAGCCATATGAAATGGGTTTTTGAACATCTATCAGTGCAGTAGATGCTGCTGAAATCCAGTGTTTCTCCCTAGCCTTATGGTTTACCTTACTAGCAGATATCACTGCTGTTTCCACAGCTTTTCGGATATCATCCCATGCTGCCTCGGGGTGGGCATCACATACATGGCTGCCCAACTGTTTTTCTAGTTGTTCCTGAAATATACTCTTAGCTTGACTATCATTAAGTAAGGCCCTAAGAGGTTTCCTTGCAGCGTCTTTCCTACGTCCAGTAAGACGCAGGCAAATACGCGCTCGTACTAGAGCATGATCTAAATCTAAGCATGTGCTCCAGGATGAGCGACAGTCTTCTATCGAGCTCCTCTATCGGTGGCTGATAGCGATGTGATCTATTTGGGTCCAACGTTGGGACGAATTAGGGGGTCGCCATGTCAAAAGATGTTTTTCCTTATGCTTAAAGTTAGTATTTGCAAGGAACAGGCGGTTATCTGAACATAGCTGAAACAGACGGTCGCCATTATCTGTTCTTTGAGCCACGATGCTATAGGATCCACCCAGGTGTCCTTCCCTATCGCTTAGTTTACCTACATGAGCATTAAGGTCACCAGCCACTATTACTACATCCGAGCGCCTAGCTTTTCGGAGAAGGTCGGAGAGCTTTCTGTAAAACTCATCTTTTACATCATCTGCACTGCAGTCAGTAGGAGAATAGGCAGAGACGACGAAGAAGCAACGACGAGTGTCCCTATCTTTTCGGATCCTTACTGTTCCGTTCAGTCGGACAGCGCACAAACGACTGTCTGCTGGGATCCACACTGAGAGAGCTAGCTCTGCCCTAGGACTCAATGCTATACCTACGCCGGCAAGGCCACGGGAAGCAGAGTCAGAGCTTCCAGATACACGAAGTGTGAACCGAGTCGGTTCTTTATTTTGGCATGGTGTCACTACTCGGATCCTGTATGCGCGTTTCGGAGATGCAGCACACATCGATGACGCGGGATTCTAAAGTCTTAGCTAAGGAAGCCTGCTGTCCTATTTGGCACAGTGTTCGGACGTTAAAAGCTCCTACGTGTAGTTTAGAGCGTGGTTTCAGGAGACCAGGAATAGCGTTCCGCGTACTCGAATCGTTTGCCCTAGCGGTGCGAGGTGATAAAGATACGTGAGGAGGGTTAGTCATGGAGATAAGAGAGGTATTAGGTGTAGGAAGGATTTGAATGTGACCAACTTGGTCCCGTGTGCTGTTACGGATATGAGGGCTGATATCACTTCTCGGCTGCCCACACCATGGAAGGGTATTTCTTGAGGAACCTGAAAAGGAAATTGGATTAGTGTTGGTCTTAACGACCTAAGAGCGTGACCACAGAGCCCAAAGGACAACTGCTTGAGGCCGGTCGCGCACGGCCTTTTCGTGGGAGGTTTTTGACGTGTTAGCTCCGTTCTTCAAAGGGCCTTACTGCCGGAGACGGAAATCCGTGAGGTAAGGTGAGGTGTGACAACTTTAGGGTCGACCTTTTCTAACCCCACCCCTCCTTGTGGGAAGGCAGCGTCGCTGCAGATGCTGGTTGTCTGAGGGAAACACCTTACTGCTGTCACACCCCTCTACAGTCAGCAGTACGACTTCGCCCTCAGACATTGAGTTGCTGCTTTTAGTCTTACCGTTCTTCAATCGACCTGCCTGGCGCGGTAGAGCCTACAGGAACATATGTTCCAGCCAATATAGCTCGGTTGGGTCATCACGATAGGCAAGCCCGAACACCGCAGCTTCGGTCGGGCATTAAGATTAAGTATTGAAATGAATACCCGGAAATCGAAAAATCGTGTTTGATAAACTGTTTCATGAAAAGTCAATAGACAGTCAAGCTCTCAAATTTTAAATTGTAATCAGACAATTTGCTTTGATATCTTACTTATCACACATATTGAATAGGAGTGGAAGTACGATTTTGTCCATATTCGACTCGTGAACTTCCAGTATCAGTTGATCACTGACCATTTTACGAACAACACCTTGGATTCCTTGTATACCTGCCACTCTGACACTGGAAGCACTTGAGAAAATTAATGGGGACTTACGCATTACGCTCTTGTGGGTTGAGAAAAGATGCGTGAGCCATAGCAGCAAAATGGTCAAGAATCTCATTACATTCCTTGTGATAGTTGGGAGAATCATCGTCTATCTTAGAAAACTCTACAAACTTCACCCAAATTAACCAAAAAAGGATTGGTGACTTGCCGACTTAGACGCCATTATTTGTAGGTCCATGCGATTAGTCTCCAGAAGTAGTTGAATCATTTTCAAAAAACTAATAGCCAGAACTAGTCTGTGACCATGACAAACTTGGATTAGTTTGTCAATAGCTTTGACGGATATCGATATATTTCTTGGGGAAATAAACATCAAACAAGCTTACTGATCATAACGCCTACTGAGATCCTGTGAGAGTCTCAGGTGCAAGTACTTGGCAATTCGATCCAGCTTATCAGGCTGGTGTAAGCAATAATGTATGAGTTTATTATGGTTATTAGTATCCTAAAAATTCGCGACATACAAAAATAACATTTCAAGCAAACCTGAGGGCTGCCAGAATACAAATTATCAACCATTTTCATCCATTTTGGTCTGCATGGCCCACACTTAAAACACGTTGATCGTACACCTAGTAGATCCCTTGAATTAAAGGCAAAATAATACAGAAACCTTACATAACATTCCAAAACACTGCAACGCATCAACTCATAAAAGTCACACACTGAATCACAACGTTTGAACAATAAAACAGTTTGACAAATGAAATATGGAAAAGACTAATAGCGTAGTAGTACGAATCCTCAGTATTCGTACTTCCTTCACAATTGTTTTTCGATGGTTTCAGTTACTGACACATGAAGACACCATACTCTGCTGTATGTATCAAATGGTTCAAATGGTTCAAATGGTTGTGGACGGAATAGAAGAAGCTTTCGCTTAACAGGCTTCCGTGTCTAGTAGCAGGGGATCACCAAATCCTCCAGGCAGGAACCTAGGTATGTTAACAATAAAAGAGGAAAAGAAATTGGTAAATCATAGTGCGATGCTGTCCTTGGTCCTTAAGAATAGGTCAAGTTGCCTCTTGAAGGACTCCTGAGAAGTCGCTTGGACTAGCTCGGCCGGCAGCGAGTTCCAGCTTTTGACAACTCTTAAGGAGTAGAAGTTGTGTCTACATTCCGTCTTGCTATGTTGTGTTTCCAGTTTCTGGGTGTTACCCCTTAGGTTATTGTTCGAACTAAGCTTAAGTAGGTGTTTAAGAGGATGTCCAGAAGTGTTAAGAATACTATAAGCCATTAATAAATCACCTCTAAGACGCCTATATTCTAGTGGGTAAAGGTCTAGTGAACGGAGGCGTTCTTCGTAAGGCTTGGATTTGAGTCCTCGAACTGATTTCGTGGCTCGCCGTTGGATACGCTCCAAAGTGACCTTATCCTTTTGGAGTGAGGGGGGGAGTACTATGTTTCCGTACTCTAAATGGGGACGGATGAAACTATTGAAGATTGTGTGGAAAGTTCTTCCGTCAAACTGACCAAAAATGCGCCTCAACGTTACCAGTGCAAGGTTTGCTCGGAAGGCATTTTTGTCACAGTTAGCGTAAGACTTTAAGTCATGGGGCACCAGGACTCCTAAATCTTTTTCGACTTGGGATACTACTAGAGAGGAGTTTCCTAAGTTGTAACTGTAGTTTGCGACATGTCGCAGATGGACTACTTTACACTTAGAAGTGTTAAAGGTAAGTCCGTTATCGTCTGCCCAACTTTGAAGTCGAGTCAGATCCTCTTGAAGTGCCTGTATATCGTCTTGGTTGCGTATCTCTCTCCAAAGTTTCACGTCGTCGGCAAAAAGTAATAAGTCTGACGTTACCTGTTGAGGAAGATCATTTATGTAGATCAAGAAGAGAAGAGGCCCTAGTACTGAGCCCTGGGGGACCCCACTAGGACATTCCATAGCTTGAGATAAAGTGAAATTAACCCTAACCTTAAAGTGTCGATTTTTTAGGTATGAAGTAAGCCAGTCGATTAGAGGTGGTTTGATACCTAGTCGTTTGAGCTTGTTGATAAGACACAAGTGGTTAACCTTATCAAAAGCTTTTGAGAAATCAAGGTAAATGACATCAACCTTTCCCTTGCGATCGAGGATGCTTGTCCATCTGTCCACCGCAGTCAGCAGGTTGGTTATACAAGAGTAACCCTTCCTAAAACCATGCTGTTGGGGTGAGAAGAAATTTAAGGACAGTAGGTAGTCATTTAAACCGTCGCATATCAGGGACTCCATGAGTTTTGAAGGTAACGACAGAAGAGCTACCGGCCGGTAACTTGAAGGTTCATTGCGTCGACCACCTTTGAAAATTGGTGTGATGTGAGCCAACTTCCAATTTTCCGGTAATTTGCCTCGGCTAAGCGAGTGTGAAAACATCACGCTAAGCGGCGTTGCCAGGATTGAGGCTGCCTCCCTCAGTATGGCAGGATGAACCATCTCCGGGCCAGGAGAAGTGTCAAGTCTTAAGTGCTGCAGTTTCCGGAACACCAAGTCAGCGCTTGGGTCCACTTCGGAAAGTCCTGTGGAATTGCAGACGAAACTGTCATCAGTAAAGTTGATGTCAGCCGGTTGAAATGTTTGAGAGTAATGGGCCGCCAGAAGGTTAGCGGCGTCGCCATCGTTGTTGGTCGGGCCGTTAGGACCTAGCAGTTGAGAAACTCCTGTTTTGGCTTGACGAAAAGAGGCTGTATAACGGAATGGGCTTTTCGGATTGGGGGCAAATTTGTCCATAAGCTTTGTCTGGTACTGAAGCTTGTCTTCTCTTATAGCCTTCGTGCATATGTTCCTGATATGTTTATATTGTCTATACGCTCCATCGTTATTAGTTCGTTTGTATTCCGCCCAACAGTGCCGTTTGCGGCTTAGGAGGCGAAGGGTACGGTTCTTGATTACTGTAGGTGGCTTGAAGCTTTTGGGAACCGTTTGAGGAACTGAATGGTCTGTAGCACATAAGAGCGTGTGCAGCAAGAAGTCCCAATGACCATCCACATCGATTTGAGGGTGAACATCCCAAACCACCTGTTGTAGATGGTCATGTAGAGCTGGGACATTCAGCCGTTTAAAATTCCAACGCAAATTATTGTTGGGATACCTTAGCTTAGTTTTGATGACAAAACTGAAGGCTATGACGGCATGATCGCTTTTTCCCAGAGGAGCCAGGATTGAGAGGTTGTCGACTAGGAATTCTTCGTTAGTGAATACACAGTCTAAGCGCGATGGTGTCTGACTGTTTCTCCAACGAGTTGCCGACCTCACATTTTCATATAAGCCCAAGTTATCGATGAGGTTGAAGAACCGAGCTTCAGTTGAGTTGTCGCCTCCAGTGCACGTGTGTTCCGCGAAGTTGACTCTAGGGAGATTAAAGTCCCCTAGAATCAGGATGTGTGTGAAACCGAGACGGATAGAGCGGGATAGTCCTTCCAGCATACGACTATCGTACTCGGTGTCGGCAGTTGGCTTCCTGTAAATGACTCCGACTAGACACCTGGAAGTACTAGACAACCTTACAGAGCACCATATGGATTCCTCAAGATTGTTAAACTCGAGGTTGTGAACCTGGTGCACCTCCAAGCAAGAGCTTATGTATATGGCTACTCCGCCCCCAATTCCTATTTTTCTGTCGTTGCGGAACAAAGTCATCCCAGGCAATGCTAACTCTTGATCCGAGAACTGAGAAGATATCCAGGTTTCAGATATTCCTATCAGATGGGCCTTGTTAGCGTTGCTAAGTTCACGTAGTTCATCCAGTTTGTTTAGTAAACTCGCGGCGTTCATATATAAGCAGTTTATGCTTTCAATTTGGAACGCATGAGCTTCGTCCTGCTTTTCTGTATGAACCTTATGTGAATGGACAGGTAGCCCACCTATATGAGGTTTGCCGAGGTGGTAGGCCCTGTCCTTTACACGTTTTTTTATCGTTTAGACAGTCCACAAGTGGAATGGTCAGCTCCAACTTGCCTTTGTTCTTGGTCCTGACTTCGTATGGCCTATCCGGGTGCATGTGGATTCCAGGTGGCAATCGACGTCTATTAGCACGAAATGCTTCCAGAACTGCAGCCGCCATGTGGGAAGATGGGAAGGTTATCTTCATTAGACGGGGTCTAAGATCACCGTCCTTCTTGGCTAGTCTCGTCACATGCTGAGTCAGTATGTGTTTGAGCCTCAAGGACTGTTTGATGAATTTCCATTCCCTGATGTCAGAATTTGATTGAGTAGGGTCTGCATTTTCCGGTATACCTTGGACAATTATGTTTCTTCCGCGGAAGAACTTCTCGCGAGATTCTTTAGGGACGTTTCGTATGATATTGCGCTCAGAGTACGGTATGTCGGGCAATATTCTTACGTTACCATCTGATTTCAGTAAGTGACTTGCTAGCAAGACGTCCTCTACGTCGGTAGCATTCTTAAGTGTTACTCGGAGAAGCCTCGGGTGATTTAGATGCTTAGAATCCTTTCCTCGAGTGAGCCGGGTGACCGTCAAAGGCTCTATTCTAGGAAGTTCGAGCTTCTTGTTCAATTCACCCCACAGCATCCTGTCGTTTTTATCCTGCAGACTGAGAGGAAGGTCAGGATTGTCGACGAGGTTCATGATAATGAGAGAATCGTCACGAACTGTTGTTAATTTACCAGGTTTCACGATGGGTTCAGGTTTAATAACTTGTTTTTTGGAGGTCAGTGTGCGTTTATGAATCTTGGGCTCTTTATTGACCGGACGAACAGTCTTGGGGGTAGACTGTGCGACTAAATCACCAGTTATTTTCCGTGCAGCAACACTTGGGTTGCTCGGCTTAGGCGGTGATGCCTGGTTCTTTTGGGCTCTCTTAACGTGGGTCGAATCGCCTGCAGGGTTTTTGGGAACCACTGTTGTGTTCAGCGACCCTGAGCTGGGAGACCCGAGTTTGCCTAGGGAGTCTAGTACCGTCGACGTAATGATGGTACTGAGCCTCGACACGTCGTCGTTAGTGTTGATGGATGCTCCATCGATGACATACCTATCGACATCCCTATTTTTGAGTCCGTTGCGCGCTCTTGTTTGTATATCGGTTTTTTTACTGTCGTATTCCAAGTTAACTGACAGCTTGTTTCGAAAACCTGTCAGTAGGACAATGATATTACTCAGCAAGACTACTGCGTCCGTGTTGCACGTGACACATACCCACTTTTGGTCTGACTTGCTGAGTTTGTTGTAAGCAGTTGCTGTCAGATTTGTGCATGCTTCGTGAAACCAACCTTTGCAGTTGTCACACTGCATGCCAGTTGTGACAGCAAAACGGCATCCCGGACGTTTGCATGAGTTTTTCATGACGGTGTTGAAGCAAACTATGTTATAGATGCTGGCAAAAGCTTAAGACCTTTTTAAAAAAAACACTAAAATGCACACTGAAAACGGACAAAAATGGACAAAACGAGTGATATAAACTGAAACTAGTCTATACGTGAAAAACAAAAAAAACCGAATAGTAAGCTGAGGCAAAACCACAGGTAACTATTAAATATAGTGAAACTCAAAAAAAAGTAATCTACCGAACGTATAGCTCAAGATAGATTTTTTAGAACTGAAATGGTACTTTTGTTGCGTAAGAACACAGCAAAAGTTTGATATATGCAAATCACGTTAGGACTAAACTTCCCGTTCGAAAATCGCGTTCTAAATTCGAATATATCAAACGCCTATGGTTC